CCCTCCTAAATTTAAATCAAGGCGCACTTGAAAGGGGAAATCCCTAGCAAAGGCTGTCCTTGGGTTCCTTGGTTTACCTTGCCTCCTGGTAAGAACAACTCTGCAGGGAATGAGAAATGGAACGACCCCTTTAACCCACCAATTGGTGGTTTCCTTTGAGGGACCAAAATTCGGGTTCAGTCAATTGCTCGTTCCCTACTTATCGCAGCAAGAAACATCCCAACGTGACATTCCGCCTGGCATACCGCCCATACCGCCCATGCCGCCGCCCATTCCGCCCATGCCGCCCATCATGGCCTGGCTGGAAACCAAAAGACGGGCCGCTATTTCATGGCGAAACCAAAATGGACACCAAAAAGCTACCCAGAAACCCCCCCCCCTCCTTTTTTTTGCAGAACTGTTCCTGCGAACAGAAGATAAAAGAGAAGCTATCTGTTTGAGACAAGCTATCTTCTTGAGGGGTCCTCAATTTAGAGACAAACCGTTCCTGGGATCCTGCAACCACACCACCGCACCAAACACACCAAAGCCTTTTTGGCTCATGTCCGTCTCTCTCAAGGGCGGTATGTTTGAGGGGCTGGTATTGTTGTTCAGGGTGCGCCATGTGGAGTTGTGTTTGAAGGGCGGCCAGATGGAGTCCATCCTGAGACAACCTCATCTGGGTCAAGCCCCCTTCCAACCCCAAGTGGAAATGTTGGTATATTTCTGCATTTCCTGATGCCCTGCTGCCATCAGCTCTATGCCCGCAGGAGAGTCCAGTGAGGCAACCCCTGCGATCGCTAAGCTGTTGTATGGAAGATGCAATGACTCAGCGCTTCGCTCCGCTCGACAGCCTAGAGGCCTAAAGATGCCTGGGGTCCCCAAAGGCCCGTGTCTTAAGAACCAGTGCCCAAATGCGCTTCCGACGCCTGCATCATCGCTGGGTCCTTGCAGAAATTTCGACGAGACATGCCACAGTGGGTTCCCTTGCGTCCCCCCAGGTTTTGTGAGAAAAATTCTGGGATATTGGCTGGACCTGTTACCTCTCCGAAAGGAACCGCAGACTAGCAGTAATATTGTCCGTTGCTCATAGCCTCAAGATCCTGTTACCGGCTCTTTCAATCGGATCCCCAATCCGATTTCCACAATTCCTACTGGAAAACCACCAAGGGGATCCGTTTGGTAACCTCTTGGGTGAGGAAGGGTTGCATTTGAACAGCCCAGAGATAGGGAAACCAACCAGAAAAGTAACTTGGAGCAACACGCAACAAGCAGTTTCGCGAACGCCTCAAAACGCAACCACCGGGGGACTCAGTCCCACGTTTGTTCCGGGTCCTGCATCATGGCTGCCAGCGGGTTGGCAGCCGCCCCGCCGTAGCCTGCACGAGGCGACGCACTTTCCAACCAATCGCCCCCGGTTGCAAAACAACGGGTTTCTTTAAGTTTCTTTCTTGACTAAGTGCGGAAACACACATGTTCCCACCAAAAAGACAAAGGTCGAAACATCCAACCAAATGTGTCTGTCCTTTGAGGCTTCCTTTTTGCGGATTGGCTGAGGGAGACCAAAAGGAAGACCAGCTAAATCTGGGTGAATTATAATATTTCACCAACCTGAAATGTTTGGTAGTTGGGGGGCTACTCCCCACATAAACCACCATTTGGGGTGAATTCGGTCGTGTGAGGTCGTGAAAAAAATCACCCAGACCTAAATGGCTGTGGCTCAAAATGGCTCAAAAAACCGGTACCAAAATGGAACCCTGGTAAGTGGAAACATGGACCACAACTTGCGTAACCCCCTCCTCATCTACCAAAGGGTTTTGAGGACGTGACTCAAATGGCCCCGTCCCCGAACCAACAGATGGCCCCGCCGCGCCTGGCCCCGTCGGCGCCGCACCCGGCGCCGGCGCGGCGGGCGCCAGGCCCGGCGTCGGCGCTGCCGCGGGGGTCGCCGCCGGGGCCGCCGCCGGGGTCGCGGCGGGGGTGGTGCCACTAGGCGCGGAGCGCACCAAATGCATCGCCTCAGAGGCGAAAAGCGAGCCCAGTCAGCCGAAAAAAGGGACATGGACACATCGGCGGATCCTTGTCCACTCAAAGTGGGACCTGGAAAAAAGGGGAAAAAAGACATGGATCCTTTCTTTCTTTCCCTTGCCTGTGGCATGGGTTCATTTTTCTGCCGGCTTCGGCGACGCGGCTTCGGTTCCGCGGCCTGTCCGGACTCAATCTTCAGGGACTCCACCGTGTCCGTGTCCTTCAGGATGCGGCCTCACAGGCCGGGAACCACGGAGAGCAACAAACGGCATGCCGGGCGTGCCATGTCTTTTAGGGGACCCCAAGATGGCGCGACGGGGTTCCTTTTGGTTTCCCTTGGGGTTCCCACACAAAAGGGGGGTAATTAGCCTCGGGAAAAAAAAGGGAAAGACGCGCCCGAATCGACCCCAGCCTTTGAAGATGATCTTCATGTGCTCGGGCTCCATCTTCGCCTCATCCTGAACTTGACCCAAAGGAGGTTGTTCAAAGCGGTTCAAACATCACTCAACCGGGGCTTGGCCCAGGAACTCATCATATGCTGCAATCCCAAACCCACGCAAAACTGTCCTTGGCTTTGTTTTTCACGTCCAGCATTGTCATTGATGGCCTCAGACATGGGATGCATCTTCAGCCGCCGATTCGCCGAAGAGCTAAGCCAGGCGAACACCTGATGTCCGCAGTTCCGGGGGGGTCGCCAAAATGTTGTACCCCATTTTGGACAGCGCTCCTTCAAAGGCACCAGACAATGAAAGGCTCGCATTGCGAGGCCCCTGAGAAGTTCGACTCCCGAAACGGCCGCATCCGATTCTACCCCGAAAAACCACGTGGGAAATGGGCGGTGAAGTCTGGCACTCAGACTCAACCAACTCTACCTGAGGAAAAGAAACCATGGTCCGAACAAGAACTCCTGGTACAGAGCGCTTTCGTGACCAAACGAAGCTGCTCCAAAACTGGTACACAAAATGACACTTGGCCTCTGGAAACAAAGAAAGACTAAAGCCTGCGCAACCCCAGCTGCTTGATTTTGAGGCACAGCCCATGCGATTTATCTCTTGGGTCTTGAGGTTGCGCCAGTGAGCGACAAAGGGATATGCCCGAAGCCAGACGTTTCGGCCGGCCCAGAACTCTGTTCATGGCGAGGCCCCCGCCACTCTGGTCAACTGATCTCACTCAATTGTGTTGAACCGCATTCGCAACCAGTTGGTATGTTCACCAAACATCTCTGACCTTCGCCAAGCTTGGAACCCTCAGACTCCTCCCAATAAAGAAACAAAAAACGATCCGGAGGTCCTTCCTTCCCATTCCGAGCCCCGGAGGGCTCGCGGCGTCAAGGTGTCTGGGCTTCCGAGCTCCAGGTCCAGCGCGAAACTACCGCCGCCGGTGCCGGAGATCTTGAAGGTCACATTGATAACCATCGCTCCTCTCATCAAAATCAATAAGAAACCGATCCGACGGATGGATGCCCAGAAGAGAAAAATGTGATTTCTTCTTGCGAGGGGAAACCGGGGGCAACGAAAACAAAAAGCAAAACCCGGTGTTTGGAGGCCTCAATTTCCGTGAGACCCGGACGAAAACCGAAAGAGACCCGGGCCCTTCAACGCAAACCAATTAGAGTCGGGTACCCTGACCGCCCGCGTCCCCTGAGTCCCCCTAGCGTCTGTGGGAAACCCAAAGGAATCCGAACTGGTTGCCCAGTTCAAGGGGGTAAGCCTCTCCCCCCCTAGCCGTGGCTTAGAATAGCGGACCCCTTCTTCCCCCCTTCCCCCCCCCGGCCAAAAAAATAATGGTTTGCCTTTCAGCTCCAACAAAAATGAACATGGCTTCTGCGTTGGATTCAACAAATATGGACTCCAAGGACACCCTCAAAGCCCTCGACAAAATGGCGGCTTTGAAACCACGCCCCAAGGACACCCTTGACTCGACACCGGCGTCCCTCCTCTGTCCGTCGGCCACTGCCAACGCCCTACCCTGAAGCCAGTGGCTGCGGGAATAGATTCAACCGTTCTGACCTCGATGTCGCTGCGGTTCCCTCAAAACACACGGGCATGTAATTGAAATCTTGCGAGTCGGCCTTTCTAGGTAATTCGTAGAACCACCGGCCATTTTGAGACCGCCACTGAACCCTGACAGCAAAATCCTACTCCCGCCTCGCCGGGAGCCACAAGCCATGTGCTCGACTTGAGAAATTTCGAGCCGCGCCGAGTGATCTCACCAAAGGCAGCTTCCCTCTTGGTTTTCGATTTGCCCCTTACAAGAACCCAGGGGGTTCAAATCCCAACTCAAACCACAAATCCAAACCGCCCACTACGTTGGCGAAAACAAAGGACACCTGCGGGGAGCATCATTCCTGAAGCTGGGAGACAATGTATCCCTAAAGTGCCAGGCGAGTGCGTCTTGAAATGGGAGGAGTCCATCTTAAGACCCGAGGAGGAGTCCATTTTAGGACCCGATGTGTCTTTTCTCAGAAAACCTTGAAGGAGAGAGCCCAATCCGCGGGAATTCCCAGGGTATTTGTTGTCTAGGGCACAAAGCTTACCCCTGTGGCAAGGGGATCTTCACCAGTTGGTGAGTGGTCCACCCCAGCAGGAGGGTTTCATCCATGGGCGTCCTTTTGGAGAATAGATCTGGCGATTGACCAGGTAAACCAGGGCCCTCTACCCCAACTAACCTAAGGACACCTACGGTTCATCCATCTCGTTGCTGGTGCGAAGTGGATTTTCACCATGAGGCGGCCAGGCTGAGCCAAAGCAGGGCGCGTGCGCACATGTCGCCCGTCCACGAAAGTGACTCAAAATGACCCTCAAAACGACAATTGTAAGGGGTTTTGAGCTAAAACCCAAAAGTTTGCTTGAGAAGCCCTCAAAATGCATCCACTTTTCAGGGACTCTAATCTTGATATTTTGTGGGTTTCGGTCTTTCTCCGGGTTTTCCCACAAAACGAGCGCCCATACCAAACCTGCGCATCGCGAAAACGGCGGTTTTGGGCGCCCGGCAGGTTGACACCGTCACCCAACAGCCCGTATCTCGGAATGGCCATGGATCTGAAGGATGCGTCTTCTAGATTGGACCCCCCCCAAAATGGCATTGGTTTCCTTTTGGTGCCAACTTCATCCCCTTGAACGGGTTCCCGCAAAAGGAGACCAGCAAGGAATCGTCAATTTTCAGGGCGGTTTGTTGTCCCAAAAAAAGGGGATCACTGATCAGGGTTGCAGTAGAGGGACCTGCCTAAAGCAGGCGCTTTCCCTAAATCAGCTGGTACAGGTGTGTTTTTGAACTGGCCCAACAGTATGTTTGTCCAGGAGCCTAGTGGTCAGAAGACACCCGCAGCACATATTAATTTCCATACGATTGGTGCAGTCCTCCGTATAAATCCGAAGTTGACATTACTTTCAACTGGCCCAAATGAGTAAGTGGTAAGTGACAAGACGTGGGGACCCCCTCAAAAGGAAAAATATTACACTAGCATAGGCCGGATAGCCTGGGAGATTGCAACAACAGCACCCTGACCAGCACCTTGACTGCATCGCCAAACAAGCAACGCCAGCAACCGCGTCCGCGCACCAAACAGCACCCTGGCCAGCACTCACAACAGCACCCAACAGATTCCAGGCTGCATCGCAAAACAAGACCACCAGTGTTCACCACAGCACCTTAAGCACAAACAGAACACTGACCAGCACCCAAAACAGCCAGAAACAACAGCACCCTGGCGGCATCGCAAAACAAGCACTGCCAGCAGCCACCACAGCCAAACAGCCCTGACCAGCACCTGAAGCACCAACCTGGCCCGAACTCAAACCGGCCAGCTATCCGGGGAACAAATAAATGTGCTCGTCCTGTGGGTCTCCCTTTACACTGCCCTGACAAGGCCTCAAGAAAACACACTCCCAAATGCATCCCCTACGGCCCCGGCCCAGGTTTTTGACGCCAGGCGGATCCTAGTTGGCTGAGCTCACGGCTTCATCCGCGTGGGCGCACCAATGTTGCCTGCGAGGACCTCCCCTGTGTGCACGCTGCACTGCAGGCCTTGCCAGCGGAAGTCTGGGGCCGGAAGTGTCGGATTTTCAATAAAAGTTACCTCTGCATGCCTGTGTGTGTGTGCAAAACTGGTGAACAAGAAGCAATGCATTGCATTGGTTGCCCAGACATGGGGTCACCAATCCTAGGGGTGCACCCACATACGCGACATTGGCCCTTGTCCGAATTTTGCAACTGGGCCCCACGCGAACTGGTTCGTCGAGCTGTGCCTACGAGTCAAAGCGATCTCGACCGCAAAACCTGGCCATTTCTCCAGTGCAGGCCTAAGCCCCTAAGCGGCCATGAAATAAAAGAATCGGATCCTAAAAATGGTTGTTTCGCCTTAACGTCCACCAAGACAGACAGACAGACAGACAGACAGACAGACAGACAGACAGACAGACAGACAGACAGACAGACAGACAGACAGACAGACAGGCAGGCAGGCAGGCAGGCAGGCAGGCAGGCAGGCAGGCAGGCAGGCAGGCAGGCAGGCAGGCAGGCAGGCAGACACAGACAGACAGACAGACAGACTCAGACTCAGACTCAGACTCAGACTCAGGCTGCGGCCGAGTTTTCGATCGCCGCCAAGGCCGCGTTCACCGCGGCCAAGTTGTGCATTTCGATCTGACCAACCATTTGGCGCACTCGAACGATCACATTTAAGTCATAGTCAAAACCTGGTACCAAAAAGGGTCCAACCAAAAGCGGTAGGATCAAAAGGGCGGCCGAAACTATCCGAAAGAGCAGCTGACAAGATACCCACCAAGCACTGACTGCACACAACCGAGACCAATCTACAAAACTGATAATCTGACCGCGCAAAACATAAACACTGACAATATTTTCTTGTTGGAAACGGTCCCTCAGGCGAATCCAGCGGCGAAACTCATCCGGGCCCAGCCTTCTTGGGGGCATTAAAAACGGCCAAAACCTCACGGGCGATTCGGTTTGAACCAAGCCCTCAGATTCCTGTAATTTCTAGCCCAAGGGAAAGCAAGGCGGTCCGCTTTTGGTGGGGGGTCATCATTTTTGGAGGGAACACTCCTCTATTCATCAAACAAGGGCTTTATTGATCCACGGTTAACATTACGCAGAACCTAAGCAAATGTTTGCCCCCCTGTAGCTGAAAGCTATCCACAAAGGAACCCTTGTCATGGTGTTGCTCACTTAAAGCTGCACATGTAGCAAACCCATACATTGAAAAAAGCTTCGTGAAATGACCAAAAGCTTGCCGCAACCAACCTCACATCACAGCCAGCCTTCGAATGCCATAGCAAAAACCGCAACCAACAAACCTCAGATGACCCTCACACGTCACTGACTGCCTGGCCTTTTGGCACTCTCAGACGGCACTTCCTCTTCAAGGTCAGTCTCATCACCAGCCAGCCCTCGAACGCCATAGCAAAAACCGCAACCAAAACCTCAGATGACCCTCACACGTCACTGACTGCCTGGCCTTTTGGCACTCTCAGACGGCACTTCCTCTTCAAGGTCAGTCTCATCACCAGCCAGCCCTCGAATGCCATAGCAAAAACCGCAACCAACAAACCTCAGATGACCCTCACACGTCACTGACTGCCTGGCCTTTTGGCACTCTCAGACGGCACTTCCTCTTCAAGGTCAGTCTCATCACCAGCCAGCCCTCAAACGCCATAGCAAAAGCCGCAACCAACAAACCTTAGATGACCCTCACACGTCACTGACTGCCTGGCCTTTTGGCACTCTCAGACGGCACTTCCTCTTCAAGGTCAGTCTCATCACCAGCCAGCCCTCAAACGCCATAGCAAAAGCCGCAACCAACAAACCTCAGATGACCCTCACACGTCACTGACTACCTGGCCTTTTGGCACTCTCAGACGGCACTTCCTCTTCAAGGTCAGTCTCATCACAGCCAGCCCTCGAATGCCATAGCAAAAACCGCAACCAACAAACCTCAGATGACCCTCACACGTCACTGACTGCCTGGCCTTTTGGCACTCTCAGACGGCACTTCCTCTTCAAGGTCAGTCTCATCACCAGCCAGCCCTCGAACGCCATAGCAAAAACCGCAACCAACCAACCTCAGATGACCCTCACACGTCACTGACTGCCTGGCCTTTTGGCACTCTCAGACGGCACTTCCTCTTCAAGGTCAGTCTCATCACAGCCAGCCCTCGAATGCCATAGCAAAAACCGCAACCAACAAACCTCAAATGACCCTCGCACGTCACTGACTGCCTGGCCTTTTGGCACTCTCAGACGGCACTTCCTCTTCAAGGTCAGTCTCGTCACCAGCCAGCCCTCGAACGCCATAGCAAAAACCGCAACCAACAAACCTCAGATGACCCTCACACGTCACTGACTGCCTGGCCTTTTGGCACTCTCAGACGGCACTTCCTCTTCAAGGTCAGTCTCATCACAGCCAGCCCTCGAATGCCATAGCAAAAACCGCAACCAACAAGCCTCAGATGACCCTCACACGTCACTGACTGCCTGGCCTTTTGGCACTCTCAGACGGCACTTCCTCTTCAAGGTCAGTCTCATCACCAGCCAGCCCTCAAACGCCATAGCAAAAACCGCAACCAACAAACCTCAGATGACCCTCACACGTCACTGACTGCCTGCCCTTTTGGCACTCTCAGACGGCACTTCCTCTTCAAGGTCAGTCTCATCAGCAGCCAGACCCCATGACACCACATGCCGACACAGCTGTCTGCGGCACAAAGTCAAGCACGCAACATTCGGCCCGCAAGCTCAAAACGGCATACGGACGACCGCAACCAACAAACCTCAGATGACCCTCGCACGTCACTGACTGCCTGGCCTTTTGGCACTCTCAGACGGCACTTCCTCTTCAAGGTCAGTCTCATCACCGGACAGCCCTCGAACGTCATAGCAAAAACCGCAACCAACAAACCTCAGATGACCCTCACACGTCACTGACTGCCTGGCCTTTTGGCACTCTCAGACGGCACTTCCTCTTCAAGGTCAGTCTCATCACCAGCCAGCCCTCGAACGCCATAGCAAAAACCGCAACCAACAAACCTCAGATGACCCTCGCACGTCACTGACTGCCTGGCCTTTTGGCACTCTCAGACGGCACTTCCTCTTCAAGGTCAGTCTCATCACAGCCAGCCCTCGAACGCCATAGCAAAAACCGCAACCAACAAACCTCAGATGACCCTCACACGTCACTGACTGCCTGGCCTTTTGGCACTCTCAGACGGCACTTCCTCTTCAAGGTCAATCTCATCACCAAGCAGCCCTCGAACGCCATAGCAAAAACCGCAACCAACAACCTCAGATGACCATCACACGTCACTGACTGCCTGGCCTTTTGGCACTCTCAGACGGCACTTCCTCTTCAAGGTCAGTCTCATCACAGCCAGCCCTCGAACGCCATAGCAAAAACCGCAACCAACAAACCTCAGATGACCCTCACACGTCACTGACTGCCTGGCCTTTTGGCACTCTCAGACGGCACTTCCTCTTCAAGGTCAGTCTCATCACCAGCCAGCCCTCGAACGCCATAGCAAAAACCGCAACCAACAAACCTCAGATGACCCTCACACGTCACTGACTGCCTGGCCTTTTGGCACTCTCAGACGGCACTTCCTCTTCAAGGTCAGTCTCATCACAGCCAGCCCTCGAACGCCATAGCAAAAACCGCAACCAACAAACCTCAGATGACCCTCACACGTCACTGACTGCCTGGCCTTTTGGCACTCTCAGACGGCACTTCCTCTTCAAGGTCAGTCTCATCACCAGCCAGCCCTCGAACGCCATAGCTAAAACCGCAACTCACAAACCTCAGATGACCCTCACACGTCACTGACTGCCTTGCCTTTTGGCACTCTCAGACGGCACTTCCTCTTCAAGGTCAGTCTCATCACAGCCAGCCCTCGAACGCCATAGCAAAAACCGCAACCAACAAGCCTCAGATGACCCTCACACGTCACTGACTGCCTGGCCTTTTGGCACTCTCAGACGGCACTTCCTCTTCAAGGTCAATCTCATCACCAAGCAGCCCTCGAACGCCATAGCAAAAACCGCAACCAACAACCTCAGATGACCATCACACGTCACTGACTGCCTGGCCTTTTGGCACTCTCAGACGGCACTTCCTCTTCAAGGTCAGTCTCATCACCAGCCAGCCCGAACGCCATACCGACAACCGCAACCAACAAACCTCAGATGACCCTCGCACGTCACTGACTGCCTGGCCTTTTGGAACTCTCAGACGGCACTTCCTCTTCAAGGTCAGTCTCATCACCAGCCAGACCCCATGACACCACATGCCGACACAGCTGTCTGCGGCACAAAGTCAAGCATGCAACATTCGCCCCGCAAGCTCAAAACGGCATACCGACGACCGCAACCAACAAACCTCAGATGACCCTCGCACGTCACTGACTGCCTGGCCTTTTGGCACTCTCAGACGGCACTTCCTCTTCAAGGTCAGTCTCATCACCAGCCAGACCCCATGACACCACATGCCGACACAGCTGTCTGCGGCACAAAGTCAAGCACGCAACATTCGGCCCGCAAGCTCAAAACGGCATACGGACGACCGCAACCAACAAACCTCCGATGACCCTCGCACGTCACTGACTGCCTGGCCTTTTGGCACTCTCAGACGGCACTTCCTCTTCAAGGTCAGTCTCATCACCAGACAGCCTCCATGACACCACATGCCGACACGGCTGTCTGCTGCGCAAAGCAAGGTCAAACGGCATATCGACAACCGCAACCAACAAACCTCAGATGACCCTCACACGTCACTGACTGCCTGGCCTTTTGGCACTCTCAGACGGCACTTCCTCTTCAAGGTCAGTCTCATCACCAGCCAGATCCCATGACACCACATGCCAAGACAGCTGTCTGCTGCGCAAAGTGCAGCACGCAACATTCGGCCGCAATCTCATGCGGCATGCCCAAAGTTCTCCAGGTTTGCTCTGGAAAGGAATTAGTTGTCTTGAAACCACCGAGGCTTCTGTAGGCAAAAGGGCAAGTTCATTTTGCGACCTGCAAGAGTTATGTTAGCGGAGGGTCAACATATGATTCTCTCACCAGAAGTCAAAGGCGCTCTGCTTTTGGCAGCGACTCCAAAAACCTCCACCCTCCACTCTTCTGAATCCAACATGAGTCATATCAACAACCAGGCATTGCAGCCGTTTAGAGAGCAAATATCCGCACTTGTTTGTGGTAGGACTGTCCTTTTATGTTGACCATGCTTACACATTTCCCCTTAAGACATCACCCCATAGTACAAACCCGGGCTCACTCAGAGTTTGTGGATTAATAAGGGGATGTTCCCCCCGAATGTGATGGAGTCCCTCCAAACTGGAATTCCCTACACTATTCAACCAGTGGTTGATTGATTTCGGAGTCCCATTCTCCCACCATAGGGTACCTGGTTCTAATGGGCACACCCAACAAGGACAGCCGAGAGGTCGTGGAAACAGACATCGAGCTGGAGCGCTTCAATTCAATCACTCAGCTTTCGCTTCATCGGCTTGGATTAGAAACGTCTGGAGATGTTCCGGGGGCTCCACTCAGATGCCCGGTGGCCATGGCATAAAAGGGCAGCCTTTCTTGGCTGGTGGAGTTTATACAGAGGGGCCCAAATCCCAAATCCAAATAACCACAAAACCACCAGGTCACCAGTGGGAAATCCCAAATCCAAGCCACAAATCCAAACACCACCGGGCCAGTGGGGTCGTCCGGTGGGACATCCTCCCCTCTCTCGCCTCGTCCCCGATGAACTCCAGCAAGGTGCCGCCGTTCTGCTCCAGCGCCTGGTTCACGCCCTCCAGGACCACATCCAACCTGAGAGAAAGCGGCCGGGGGGAAACACCGAGCAAGCTGGAGGGTCCAAAAATATGAATATATATATATATATATATATATGGCTATGGGTCAATAACCGGTACCCCCAGTGAACATCCCAATCAACACTAAAATAGGTTCTAACATGGGTGGTGCACCCATCCCAAAATGGAGCCATAGGTTATGCCCCATGGTCATATATATATATATATAATATATATATATATATTATATATATGTATGCAAAAACACGTGAAGAAACAAAATGTCTGCTTTACAAGGGAAGGGGAATCGAAATGAGGCTTTTGGTTGAAAAGGTCCATGTTGAAAGCCACAAAGAGACATTGATGGGCCTTTTCGCCCACGAAGTGAGCCCTACAAACGCCAGGGGTGGCGTCCTTTGGTTTCCCCCACCAACCCCGAAAAGGGGTGCCCTTAACAAAACACAGCTACGAGCTTCCTGGCATGTGCCACACCTCCCTAACTCGGGGGAAGAAAAAGAAGAAGAGAAGAAAAACACGAAGGAATCCGAAATCCGAAGTCTGAAGGGATCCCACCCGAGCCTGGGACTTGCCAGTTTTATCACTTTTGGGGAGCACGAATCGTCCCGGTAGGATACATCCGAAAAAACCCACCTTTACAAGGATCTAATCGGGAAGAAACCCACAGCCTGGGCCATAAAGATCAAAGTACACAACAGAACTTGACGAGGCGTTGCCTGGTGAATGCGGGTGCCTGCTCCAGTGGCCATGTGAAAGAAGGGCGCTCTCTCTGTTCTATGGGTGGTGTATTCTGCAATGTCTAAAAGGAATCCCTTCCAAAAAAGTAGAAAAGGGGGCTCGCAGCCCACTTTTTTGCGTCGTTTGAGTATCTGGGCGCCCGGGCAACTCGAGGACCTCCTTCGGAGTCTTGCCCTTGCAAGTGTCCTTGAAGCCCTGAGCACGGGAGGTGATGCCCGTGGAAGTTCTCAAAATCCTCCCCTAACCTCCTCTTGGTTCCCCTTTGGGGGCCCATTTTGAGAACCAGCTCATCCGGAACTCTTGCCTTGATGTCACAGAAGAAGATGCTCACCCGGGAAGGGATGCATCCTCAGCGAAGAAAAAAGGTTACACATGGCTGTGTCGAAATTGTGGGGAACCCCGTGGGAATCCCCCACCCCACCCAAAACATGTGGTTGTTCTGTTGGTGTCCCTTTGAACTGATCTGAAAACGGTACAGTATTGTCAAGAAACACATGTCGCATTCAAACTCTTAGACCCTTAGAATCTCCAGCGTCTCTGCGGCCCAAGTGCCAATGTTCGCTTCCACCCCGGCATTCATCACCTGCTTCAGCAAAATCACCTGAGATTTCACATGAGAGCGTCATCAAAGCCCTGCCCGAAAGGGTTGACTCAACACCATAAAATCAAAAGGCCGGATATCAGCACCATGACGGGCACTGTCTCAACCTCCCCTTACTCGGCGGGCCGTGGCTTGAGTCCAAAGAGGGGAACGAAGCATCGCGCTCGAGGCTTCGGCTGGCACGTATTTGGACCACGCAATCATCGCCTTGGGGTTGCGGAACGTTCCGCACCACACGATGGGAGAGGTGCATTGGAAGGAACTGTACATTGGTCGGGAGCCATTGTTGACCAGGGATTGGAGGGAAGAGTGCAGAGGCGACTGACTTCAATGATTCAAGCTCAGTTTGGAGGGGTAAGCTTGAGGACGGCCCCCCCCCTCCGTCTGGAAGCCTTTCAGCACTCCAGACGTGCCCAAATGCTCATGGGAACAGAACTGGCACTGGGAACCCCCGGATGAATCTACTTGTGGCGGATGAATCGGGGCAGTGTCCCATTTTGGAGGGCATTCTCACTTTTGGGGGCAACACCATGAAACACCTCCCACATCCACAAGGCTGAGTAGTCCCCCTACTTGTCCACTACAATTCCCTTTCAGCTCCCCAAGAGCCCCGCCCTTTTCCGGGAGCCCCAAACCCGAGTCAGCCTCACGCCTACGACTTCTCTCCGCTTGAATCCCGGGCGGACTCCAGAAGGCTCATCGACTTGCGAAGGCCCAGTAGCTCTTGTGCCACCTGAGCCATTCGGAATCCCATGGCAAGGGGGCAGCCGATGGACCAGACACAGCCGACGAAAACGAGAAACCCTCCACAAACAAACAAATAAGACGGAAGTACATGTTGGCAGTTGACTTCAAATAGCAACCAAAGAAACCATGTTGCCAGTTGACTTACTTTCGCAACCCTCAAAAAAAAAAATCAGACATGTTCAGGGCACCACTCTTCCAGTGTGGGCTTCACGCCGCAAAGAGAACGACACATCGTCACGTGGCCGGCGGCCGCTTCCGAGGCTTCGCTTCGGGCTTCCGCACAGGCACCGGAGAGAAGGCCTTGCACTGGCAGCGCCGCCTGCATGGGCCGCAGACAGGCATGGACTCGTGGACCAATGGGCCAGCTCGTCGTTTTTGGCGCCAGTACCCTTCTTGGGATGGTTTCAAAGGGGAACGAAAGGAAAACCGCCAATGCTGAGGGTGTGCCCTTTTTTGACACACACCCCAATGAACAGCCCTCGGTTCTGCAACTATGAATGTGCAGGGCAAGCCCCGCATCCAGTGTGCCAATGAGCAACACCAACAGGGTGATTGCAAAAACGCGAACCACATGCACATTCTCTCCAGTCACCCGTTGCGCGCTTCTTCTCACTCTGAAGGGGCGTCTCCTGCTCTATCCTTGGCGGAACGTGGGGTCGACTCTTGAGCTTGCATCCTGCTTGTCTGCGCTTGATTCCAAAGGGCTGGGCCAAATGCGCGACCCACTGGGGTCAATTTGGCAAGTTCTGGCATGAACCGGGAGATCCCACCGCAGTCACACGCTTCAATTCGGAGGCCGTCCCACCGCAGTGCTGAGTTCGAGGCTTTCTGAACGAAGTGCTCACGGTGATGAGCTCGATGAGCTTCATGGCATTCATGTCCTCACAACATCGAGGGGCGTGAACATCGCCGCGTCAATCGCCGTGGGCAAAACGTGGCTAAACGACGAGACCCTGGTCCCCTTCCAAAAGCCGGTTACACTGATCTTGCAGAAACCAAAAGCTTGGCCAAAAAAGATCGTCAGGTTTCCGGAGGCACCGAGTGGCGAATCTCAGCCCAACCCGCTGCGAGATCCAAAGCTCTGAGAGCCAAGCCACGGCTCTCTCTTGTCTTTGCAGGCTCAAAGATCAGTTGCCCATGGGGAACCATTAAGCCCACCAGAGTCCCCCAAGTGCAGACTCCTCAAAAAACGAGTGCTTTGGGCTGGTGTTCTCTGAAAACCGCAAGGAACTCCGCCCGTTTCAGGGGTTTCGGGACACCCCACGAGCCGAAAATGTCGGAGCTTGAGGCTCAGGCATCCATGAGATCCCAGAGAGGGTGCAAACAGTTGTTGCTGGACCTGAGCGCTTCGCCGGTGCGTTGGCCGGAGCTGCTCCGCCATTGAGGGGAGGCAGGGATTCAGGGAGGGAGGGAGGGAGGGAGGGAGGGAGGGAGGGAGGGAGGGAGGGAGGGGGAGGGAGGGAGGGAGGGAGGGAGGGAGGGAGGGAGGGAGGGAGGGGAGGGAGAGGTTGCCTCTGCAGGGATGGATAAGGCCCTGAGATGATGAACTCATGCCTGAAACCCTGCAGTCCTCGGTAGGAGGCCCTAGGGGTCGGCTCTCGTTCCAACCAGCCTTTTCGGCCAAGCTGCTGCATGGTCCCTCCCTCCCCTTACACTGGTCATACACCAGTTTGTTTCATCCCCCTTGTCATTTCCTCCAAAGCTGGGCATGACCCTTTTTCCAAAAATTCGCCTTGAGGCTTTTTGTGTCCCCACAATTGGACACTGCTCCCCTTTAAAATTTGCAGCCCCAAACTGCACGCTGGAGGTCCGCACATGTGCATGATGTCAGCGGAGAAGTAGAGCATCAGAATGGCCAGCATTGCTACCACCTTCCGTGGGAAGCGTGGGAAATGACCCGAACTTCATGATACCAGGTGGGCATTTCCCATGGCGTTATCACTTTAAAGCCGACTTGTCGTTTAAATGATGTAAAATATGTAAAATGATTTTGAATTGTTCACAGAAAGTGGCGTATTCCAAAGACAAGAACATGTCCACGATATGGCGCTGTGTTCACTGCCTAAAACCAGAGCCTGCCTGGTCTACCGAGGTGTCCAACGAGCGCCAAGCATGACAAGCTGGCACTGCTCTGTCTTGGTTCTACACCAACCACTTTGGGAGCACGTCCCCTTGATTTTTATCGCCAAGGGTTCAACATGAACACCAAGAGCAAAGCACATGAGCGGTCCGAAAACGTTGAGTCCTCGGGACATGGGAACACTGATGAGCCCCCTGGTTTTGTCGGTTATGTCCTTCCCAAGACCAGAAGATCATAGGTGGCCTTTTGGAAAAATCGTTGGTGAAACCCTGGTAAATGGAAAAGACCCCACCTAAACCAGTGGAACCCATCTATTCTAAATCAAACTTACCTACAAAGGACACCTAGGCCATTGATCGTTTGACCGAAGGTGCAATGCAAACTGCCCCGCCGACAGGGTGAACTTGATATTCTCCGCGGCTTCGTAGCGCGACTGCCTGGGAGAAAACTCGGCCGGCGAGAAGCCAAGGCTCACATCTGTCACCATGCCAGCTCGCCCAGAAGCTCGGCTATCCACACGTGAACCCCATGAATGATTCTGTGTTGTGTGGGTCCCCTGACAACATGCAACCCCACTCAACGGGTCACACACACACACACACGCGCACACACACACACACGCACATAGCCGAACCAGCGACTCCTCGTCTCTGCCCGACTCCTTCCGAGCTCCGTGCTGGTGCACGTCGAAGACACTGAAGGTGTCCAGACTGCTGAGCGCACGTTGCTCCAGCAGCACTTCGTGCGCTTCCAAGCCTGGACGCAAAAAATATAACATCATGTCCCCGAAACTGAAAGCCAAAAACCAATCATTTTCTATCCAACCCATCCTATCCCAACGTAAAACCTAAAACCGAAATAGCATCCTATCCCAACCTGTCCAATCATCTTTCCAAATTCCCCCCGAAACCCTACGTCCTTGTGCTGTCCGGGGCCAAAAAAGTGATGGTACCCAGCATGGAACCCACCAGGTCCCTCAAGAACATGGTCCAAACCAACCCGGAGACATGGGACGTGTCGACTGGAAGGTTGTTGACCCCCCGGAAATCCTGGAAGGTTGTTGAGCCGCAGCTGCAACTGGGACCCTGGAAGCTGGCGCCCGCCTGTGAGATCCACCGCCTGGTCGATGAGAGCAACAGCCTGCGAGCCGGGGAGAGTTTTTCACCTGGGTTCCATGATGTCAGAAGGATGTCTATGGCTGCTGGCTGGGTTTCAGTGGAGACCAAAAGTCTCAAACCACCGTTTTTTGAGATCCCTGATATTGAGGCAAACAGGCAAGCCCGAAAACCTGCTCCTACCACCGCCCAGACACACACACACACACACACACACACACACACACACACACACACACACACACACACACACACACACACGCAGCGCGCGCGCAAAGGCAAAAAATAACGATCTCAGTTTTGGTCTATTTTAGTATTCCCCAAGGGAGTGTGCTTGGGGCGAGAAGTGCTGGAACCCCCCGAGGGTGTGATGTGCTGGGAGAACGAGCGATCTTTCGAGCAATTTCAAACCAGGAGTTCATCCCCTTTGAGAGGTGCAGAGCTCCGGATCACTGGAGGAAAAGCCGCCCCTGTGCAATTGCCAGGTTGAGGAATCCATATGAAACTGGAATTGCTGACTCGAAAGGGTGGACACCACTTTTGCGTAGGCTACAGGGTTGGTTCGTTCACGGATTCCTGAGGTTCGATTCGACACAGTCTAATTTGCTGACGACACTATTTGTTCTTTATGACTCCGCGAGGTCTTAACGAACATCTCAAAACGTTCCGCGCACTATGGTTTACGAATCAATGGGGCCAAGCGCCAAGCCACCACAATGAATCCTGTTGCTACAATACACTGTCATGATAACACCCCTTTGAATATTGCCCAAGAGGCGACATACTTGGGAAACAATCTGAACCACACAGTAGACCTCAGAAGGGAAGCTTCACAACGCACATTTTACGTGCGCCAACTTCAGACCCCAGACAAGTCTCAGCGCTGAACCAATCCACATTGATAAACAACCTTGACAAAATTGTCTGTGCAATGAAGCTGTTCACAATCGCATGAGTCACGCAGAACTTGATGACGACCCTTTTCAAAACCGGAATGGTCCACGCGCTGCCCAACAAAGGATAGTATGAGACTAAGCCAAGCGCTCCAGCATCTTGCTTAGTTGCAGTCGTCTTGCAACTAGATGTATGGCAGGAGCGAGAAAAACACTTTTGAAGAGCTTCCCTCTTCCCCATTGAAGTTCATCGCCACATACAGGCTGCACCAAGAGACGTGCGTGCCTGCGCCGCGGTGACATTCCGATACTGGTGGTACTCTCCCTCGCAACACTCGCACCTCAGCCAACGAGGCAACACACGGTTGAACAGAAGCCTTCACGTATTTCACCGTGGGCAGCGTTGGCCCTTTCCTGACTTTGTGTGAGTTCAGCGGGTTGTATTCAGGGCTACCAACCATTTGGTGATTCATCCCGGACCATCCTGGAGGGGAATCTCTTCGTTCCTGTCACGCGCATGAGAAAAACATCATGCACGTTCGAAGCAGAAGGACAACAATTTCCCCCAAGCATTTCATCACCTGGGCTTGTGGGAATGCCCAAACCTTGAAAACCCTTACTTGATTCCCTGGGGCGGGTCTTCTGGATCTTGCGCGGAGTTCGGGTGGCCACGTGTCCGCGCGCACTTTCTGTGCCAGCCATCATGCGCCCCCGGTGCCGGCCAAGACGCGTGTGGTTCCAGAAGACCTTCTGGTTCACGACCTGAGCCACGAGAAAAAAAAATGGAGAAGGAGTCCAGTCCAAAACCCACTAAACCATTCAGTGAACCTTTACATAAATTGTGGAATTTTCCAGGGGACCCTTCGGAATCTCATAAAGCATTTTTTGGTGAACGTTTGGATTCACGTCCAAAACTTCGTAGCCAAATGTAGCATAATTCAAAGAGCGCTCCCAGAAACATGGTTTCGTGCACATGCATGCTGCTGGGCGGGTATCAAATTGGAGTGAAGGGGTGAATGAGAAGGCCGATAGCAGAGTCAGGATTCCTCTGAACAAAAAACCAAAAACAGGAGGCCCTGCTTTAGGAAAAGGGGCACTGGCATTGAGGGAGCCTACCCCAGAACCAAGAAATAATCACAAAGGGAAAGTTTTCCGCACCGATGAACGGGAGGGACGTCCTCCATTCATCTACCCAAACTTGACTTGTGGCTCCAGTCAAAGCGACGCGACTTTGCTCAAGCAGCCCTCCGTCTCACTTCGTGCGCAAGCTCCCCCGCTTCTCACTGCATCATGCTTTTGGGAGAGCCGGCCCGCGGCAACGGGAGAGATGAAACCATCACTTCTCCGATCTCTCGCCCTTTGGGGCCCAGGCCAACATCAACAAGTGGCAGCGCTGGAAAGAGTTCGCCTCGAGCACACAACTCGACGGTATCGCTTCACGCTGCCATGCCTTGAGCTTCCCAAGTAAGACCAAGAACCTTGATAGGAATTGATTGCCCTGAGCAGCACCTTGTTCAAGGGAACCTTAGGCAGCTCTGGCTCAGGTGATAGGAATTGATTGCCATGAGCGGTACCTTGCTCAAGGGGAACCTTAGGCAGCTACGGCGCAGGTTTCCCTTTAAAACCACCAACCAGCACCCCCCGTGTACCCCCCGTGTTGAGCCCTCGAGTCTTGGGCCCCTGCAAAGTAGTCTCGAACCACCTCGCAAAAGATCGCCTCCGGGACCTGCACCGGCCGCTCACTGGTCCCCGACTTTGGTGATGCAACGTGGTTGAGATACCCTTCCTCCACTAACATAGCACCTGTGGGAGGGAACATAGTACCTTCAAGATCAGCTTCCTCTTGAAGGGACCCCCTGTGAGGTGTCATGTTTGGTGGGAGGGAGGATAACAGGCAAGCGTCTTTGCTATTTCAACAAGCCAGACCCAAACAGACACAAACCCAAGGTAGGGGTTCAAGGTAGGAACTGGGGTACGTTGCTATCACCCAAACCAGCTAGGACTTGAACCCCAACTAAAACCAAGCTTCTTCTACTGCAGCCTCTGACTGTTAAAAAAAAGAGGAGAGAACTGAAAAGGCGAACCCGGAATCCACGCGCGGAAATTGGTTTCCAGCCGCCTGCTCGTCGATGGATTCCAGCAGCGCCAGGCCTTGCCGTCTCGCCATCTCCTGAAAAAGACCAACCCGCCGTCGGATGCCGAGGAAAAGGCTGAGGGATGCCGTCGGGCGGGGAAAAAGGAATGACCCGAACTGGCGGTCATCCCATGGGTTTGTCTCAAAGGGAAATTGTTTCATCTCTAGGGTCAATAGTTGTGTGGCATGGGAGTTAAGTAATCCTCTTTCGGTAATAATGGTGAGTGTACCACCACGTCGTCCTTCCCGTATGCTTCACTTTAACTCAACCAACAACACTCAATCAACTGGTTTTTGAAGGAAACCCCCAAACCTGAGTGTCTTTATGTTCAAGGAAAGCACCGCGAAAGGGGAGGTGAGCGAGTTGCGTCATGAACCAGCTTTGAGAAAAGGGGCAAAGAGTTGTTCCAAGGAAAAGGAATTGGTCAAGAACCTCGCCGAGTTCTACGCGGTGCATTCGGGAACTTCGCTTCGCCTAGTTTGGTGGGGGCAAAGGGCTTAATCTGCAAATTGATGATCGAGGCGAGCTGGGTGGAAAGGAAGGGCCAGTCATGCTTTTGATGGGTGTATATTTGAATAGCCAATCTATTCGAGGCCCCATTTTTTGAGGGGTATCCCTCTGCAAAAAGTCAGACACACACCACACACACCAAAAAGAAACACCGCAATCCGGGTGTAACCCTTTGGCCGTGTGCCCGGCGGGCATCGAGCCGCTCACGAACTGCAGCATCAGCAGCAGAGCCAAGACCTGCGACCGGTCACGTGGGCGTGGCTCCGGGCAGCTGATAGAAAACTTGCCAACTGCACGCCAGCTGCTTGGCTGAGGTCGCTGCAATGATGCAAATCTTCAGGATCAGCCGCAGCATGGACTGGTAGAGCACTGTGCAGGACTCCTGAAGCGCGGTAGGCGGCGAATCGGGCGGGCTGACGCGCAAAAATCCCACCCGGTGGCTTCCATGCTGCGAAAAGACACGGGGCAGTGAGGGCCGTCTTGACGTGTCGCATTGGGTGGGGTTGTCTCTTCACCTTCCACCCACTAACATGGATTCGCATGCAACTAGCCGAGGCCCTTCCGAGAAGAATGGCCCGACTTTGTGAAACGACTTCGGCGTAGCACAAGTGGGAGCTCTGGATCTTCAACCACGGCTCTTCATGTCATTTTACTTGCTCCAAAAACCAGGACGCCCTGTGATTTTACTCCGTTGGTAGCACCCGCGTCTTCATTTACCTCGCAGGTCTGGGCCTCGTGAAATCTTCGAACAGCTTCGCTCGCTTTGAAAGCGGGCATGTGTCGAAATGGACCCCGAAACAGCTGCTTTCCCGAAACGGTCTCCCTCCAAAAACGAAAGGAAAGTCTAGGGGGTTGATTCCTGTTCCATTCTTTTCAATCATCGTTCTTTTCAAAAACCAGCCGTCTTCCCTGGGTTTCCGGAGGTTTGCTAGAAAGAAGGATCCCTGGAAAGAATGGACATGGAAGGTATCCCTAGAGAAAGGGCAGCTCCAAAAGACGAGCCAGCCATTTTGAGGGCCACAGCCCTCGCATCCGGGCGAGCCTTCATCGTAGTGATGTCGTCTAAGCAGCGCCGGAAAGCGCGCTTCCCCATGTCCGTGTCCCAGCAGGAGTGGATCTCGCACGAGAGGTTTCTCCAAATGGGTGTGTGTGTGTGTGTGTGGGTGTGTCTTTTTACCGGGGAGTTTTTCAAAATTGTAGGCGTCCTGTTGGTTTTCCTTTCAAGCTGCAAAAAAGGGGTACCCTCAAAAGGAGACACCCGCAAATAGTGCTTTTTGAATGGCGTCACGTTCCAAACACAAGGAAACCACGCATGTGTTGTAGTCTGTTTTGAGAAGCACCCCCCAAGTGGACATTGGCTACCAAAGCTCCGTTCTTTTTGGGTCTCACACTCTGCTCAACCCAAAGCTGCAAACGCCCAGTCTTTTCCTTTGGGGAGGAAATCTCCTTCTGGTGGTTTTCAAGGCAAGCCAAAAGGAGGACCCGAATTCATGTTGAGGGGAAGTGTTGTTTTTTTCTCAACGCACCCCAACTGAAAAAATTAACACCAACCATTTGCGGTGTCCAGAAGCCAAACCTGACAAAGCCAGATACCGAAGACCTTAAAATAAGCGAACTTTCAAAAGAGTGGCTTCCTCTTGCTGTCCCAACCCCAAAAGCGGTGCCCTCACAATGTACACCCGGCCAATTCCCGGTTCCTTGGCCATTGGTCACCTGGTGGCCTCTGGTCCTTCATGGAGAAACATGAGTACGAAGTGATGGCCAAAACCCAGGAAGTTGGGCCCGTTTTGGAGCCCGTTGCCATAAAACCCTATGAATAGGATGTTTCTTGAACAAATGAAGTGGGTGTGTCTTAAAACAGGAATGGCCACGGTTTCCTTTTGGCTTCCCTCTACACCAAGCCCCGGAACGGGGGCTCCAACCAAAAAGAGACGACGAGCCCGGGCCGCGCCTCCGCGCTGTAGCGGCTGAGGTCCGGCTCCACCGCCTGCGCCTACGGGCTTGGTGGCTTGAGCGGATGGAGGGCGGCGTGGGGGCGGCGTCTCTGGTAGCGTATCATCAATATTGTTACTTGTTTATCATTATTCTCACGATCATTATCATTATGATTATTATTGTTGTTGTTGTTGTTATTATTAGAATCATCATCATATCTAACTAATTCATTATCAATGAATGAAACAAAACGATTTTGACTTTTAATATGATTATCAAAATATGCAAATAACAAGAGAAAAGTGGGCCCCTCCCCCCCAAATATGGTTGTGTTCCCCTTGTCCAACATGGCTCTATGTGTTGCTACCACGCTTTAGGAGATTGGCTTGTAAGGTTCTTGGCCGAGGATGTGAAGCGGTAGCGGTAGTGATGGTAGTAGTAGTAGTAGTAGTAGTAGTAGTAGTAGTAGTAGTAGTAGTAGTAGTAGTAGTAGTAGCAGTAGCAGCAGTAGTAGTAGTAGTAGTAGTAGTAGTAGTAGTAGTGGTAGCACTTGGAGAACAGCCCGCAAAGAAAATTCTTTATTCAGGATATCCTAGTTGCTTCATCTCCTCGAGCGCTTGGGGTGTCTGCACAAGATCCAAGCCGGATGAATGGGGAGTCCCCCTCGGTGGTTCCATGGAAAGAGGCTTGTTTAACGGAAACCGAGAGAAAAACAACAAATTTTGGGGATTCCCTACAATGAAAGGCACGCCGAAATGTAAAACGAACCTGAAATGGGGGTGGCTTTACACACAAAACAAAAAGAAAAAAAAAAACATGGAGGAACTAAAGAGAGGAACCCTAAGAGTGGTCTAGCGAAGTTGGTTAATGACCACCCCCACTATTCCCCTTCAGCTCAACATCTTTGCAACCCCTTCTCCTCCGGCCTTTTCGTTGGAGCCCTCTCGAAAAACAAACAAAGATCAAGACGGGGAGCAAAAACGCCTCTCATCCAAGTCCCCCCCTGATTTATCAATTCCTGCAACCATCTCCATTCGGGTGTTCCTCATAAGGGCTTGATCCCTTTCCCACTTTCTCCCAACCCGTTTTCCCCTCTAGGCCCGGCAAAATTGCTTCCCCCCCCCCATCGAATGGGAAGGGGGTCGAACCCCCCCCCAAAAAAAAAATCCGCCCGAACTCGGCTTTCAGCGGCCTTCCGGCGCCAGGGCCACGTCCAGGAGCTCCTTGGACCGAATGGCTGGAATCCGCGGTTCTTTTCAACCATCGTTCTTAAACCAAAAACCGATCGCTGTTTCCAACCTGAGGTTTTGATGGTTTTCTGAAAAGATTCGGATCCCTGGATTCAGAATGGGGAAGTGTCCCCTGGAATTCGGTGGCTCAAAACATGGAATCCCAACAATGGCGGGTCTATGGAAGCAAAGACTGAAAACCCCGATTGCTCAATTTCGAGCCAAAGGGAATTCAAGAAAAACCACCCGAACCAGAGTAACAATCAAGAGACGAGAAGAAGTGATTCAAGAGGAATGACAGGGTGAGACCATTTTTTCCAGAAGCAACAAAAGGAAGCTCCATTGTGGGACCCAAAAGGTGATGTCTTCAGATGGGTCCTTTCTGGGCCCACCTTTAGGTAGGGCCCTTTAAGACAAACCACCCCTCAAAATCGTTCAAGGACCACCCGCCAAGTCAGCCTGCAATTGGTGGATTGGGGTGGTTTCCAATGTACCCTTTACAAGACCAAGGGCTCAAATCCGAATCCAAACCACTGACCAACCTACCCTCAATGCCGACGTCTCCTTGACCCGGACTCTTGGATCTTGTCCACCAGCCGGCTGATGCACCCGGCCTTCACACACGAACCAAAACCTGGGATAGAGCCCGAAAACACACAAGGATCAAACGGGCGCAAAGAAAAACTTGCCGCAAGCAGGGCATGTGCCTTTTCGAGTCTAACCTTTTCAGGTTGGTCGAAGAGAAAAACAAAAGTTGATACCTGTTTACGGTCTCCTACTCACCTGCATCTGCCCATCTGAGTGGCCTCATGCAAGCCCAAGACAAGATTACCTGATCCCCACCATCATGAGAAATTGCGTGGACCCGCCCATGTCCTCCCCAAAACTAGCAATACAGGTGAACAACCATCTTGGGCTTGTCTCAACCCAGGGTGTTCTTTCCTTTAACTTCGTTTGAAAGCGACCCGAAAGAGGCACACCCTTTTTGTCCATTGCTCACGTGCGCCCCGGGCTCCATGCCTCTTCGTGAGGCGGAGCTGGGAATTCCAGCCGCAAAGCCTCGCGAGGGTCACAGGGAAAGGCTTGAAATGCATGGGCTGGGCACGGTTTGCCCTAGACTTCTTATATTATTCGGGGGCTCTCAAAAATAGGGGATCCCCTATAGGAACGGTGTCCTTTCTTGGTTTGCCACATACCAATCAAAAGGACCGAAAGCGCCATTTGGCGCTTCTTGGCTCCCGCGCTGCTGTCAAGAACTCCATGTCCTCGTCCTGAGAGCATACGGCTCGCCGTCTCGCAGTCTCGCGCGTTGCACCGGATGCAACACCCGACCGTCGATAAAAACCAGGGCTGTGGGAAATGACCACTTCTGTGATACAATAGCAACAACTTCCCAAAGACTAACACCCCCATATAAAGGGGGAGATTCCCTTGGAGCACAGAAGTGGTTGGATAAACCCCGAGTGATCCCACAACCCTGATTTTAAAAAAATGCTTCGCCAAGCCGCATTGAGCTCTCCCATCCCCTCTTTGTCGATGTACTGGCGTGGGGACTCGCTCACAAATCTCCGCGTGACTCAGGCCGGCGGTTAGGACCCTCGTAACTTTTCGTCTTGAGAACGCCATGACCCTTGCTGGCAGTTACAGCCACAAAGGCAGCATCGTCGGCAGCACCATGAGAATGAGAGTGAGGATTGGGAAAACAGAAGTCCACGACAGCCACTCAAAGCGTGGCAGCGAGTCCCCCATCACGTTCTGCAAGCGCTTATGCCACATCCTCAGTGAGCCAGGAACTTAGTTCGGCCTATATGTGGAAAGCGCTGGTTCTCAGTGAATCAGCATCCACTCCTCAAAAAATGTCAAACTTCAAACATATAAACAAAAAAAACCAAACTAGTTATAGGCTCCTTGCTACTTGCTCGTGTTTGAACACTCCGCCACTGGTTGGCGAACCTTTGCTTCCCTTTTCCGATGTACCCAAATGAGTCATGGCAAATTAGTATCAAAGGAACATTCGTCACAAGAACGGACGCCCCCTTTTACGGCTAGGAACAGTCCCTAACCTCCCAGTACCAGCTCCCAGTTCAATTCCAAATGACGGTTTCAAACAAACTCCGCTATCATCTGAGAGTGCTGTTGCACTTGCACACTTCTCGGGCAGTGACTGTGATTTAGGCTTGCAGTCCCCATGAATCAAAGAGCACCGTAGAGCCCTTCAATCAGTCCCCTCAGGATGGATGGATTTCTGCTCACAGCCAGCAACAGAAGGGCGCCCTGTTTTGGTTTATTAACGCCCTTGATTGCAAGTCCTTCCAGATGTCTCTTGAGCCAACAGCCCATCAAGGAGCCCATCAAGGAGCCCGAAAGGTCCCTGACAGCTGTTCCAGGTGTTGTGGTTCCGTTGTGATTCTGTTGAGGCTCAAACTATCCTCAAATAGCACCAAGGGACCCTCCCGAGTGCAGGGGGCTTCTGAGGAACCTGCTACAATCTCGGGATAGATTGCATACAAGATCTTCCCCCAATCCCTGCTTGGACGTCTCGGGCTTGAAAATGTTGTGAAAACTCCAAGGGTTGGCTGTGTAAACCAGGCGTCACGAACCATTTGGCTGACTAGGCCGCCTAAGTACTATCCATTTGCTTCAATGTTTAACATCAGACTGGTTCAATTTTGGCTCACACGAGCCGCGCTCGCCATATGTGGTTGCCAAAAAGGCATGATATCATGGAAAGTCATCGTTTGTCCTTGGTGTTTGTGGACATTTTAGTGAGTCCCCCCTCTCCAGCCTTGGAAATCTTGACCAAATGTCCACTAAGCACTCTCAAGGTGGCTGCCTATTGAACTCATGGACAAATCTGGGTGCGTCTTTTTGCGGGGTGTTCCTTTCAGTTCCCTATTAAAACCATCCAAAATGGGTACCCTCAAAAAGACACATCTACTAGGTCCTCCAGTAGAGAAGTTAGAATAGGGGTACCAACTTTTTTTCTGTAGTCTATTTTAGTAGGGCAACCCTCCCCCAAAAAAAGAAAAGGTAAAAGGGCACCTAGCTAGGGGGACCCAGTCTAGATCCTCGTGGCGATCCTTTGGGCGACGGGGGCCCCGGCAGCATCGCCAGCTCCCGCGTGCCGCTCTCAGTGAGACGCTGCAGCCGCGGCAGCAGCTTCAGGATCTGGCGACCCAACCGGCGCCCGCGATCTTTGGATTCCGCCCTAAAAAAATGGGTACCCTCCCTCCCACTAACATGGCACGTGCCAGAGGGTCCCTTGAAGAGGAAATTAATCTTCTGGGTACCCTCTCACAGGTGCTCTGTTAGTGGGAGGGAGGGTATGCCTTTTCTGAGGCTACCCTCTTTGGCGGTTTTGAAGGGAAACCAAAAGGACAACCAGAGCGCTCTTTGATAAGTTGGGTTACATTTCCTCGTTGTAGTAGAAAAGCCAGCACGAGCTGTGGGAGTTTTGGTTGACACGACTGCTCGGCCCTGTCAGCTCCCATGATTGGAGGGTAGCATTGGGGTTCGACAGGGTAGCCGCCCAGTGTTGAACACGATTTGGATGGAGTTGCAGGGAAAATCAGTGGAACCAATTCGCTTGTCTGCTCCCCCATTGTGGAAACACCCTGCTGTGTCAAGCATGACATGCTCTTGCTCAAATCCTCTCCTTTTGTTCACCCTTCGATTGCCTACACCCGGCGGACGCGGAGCAAATGAGTTTTCGTCTGGTGGGGAACATGTTGGCCATCTGGAAAGTTTGACAAAACCTCACACCTGAGTCACAATCAAAACCTGGTACAAAAATGGTGAACCCAGAACCATGTAAAGAATTAGAAAGGCGGCCGCAACTATTTCCGGATTGGACTGCCCCTTACTAACCTTCATCTCCCCGGGTTTTGATTGTGGCTCGACCTGGGCAAATGATTCTCAAACCCCAAAGGCACCTGGGCTTTTCGCTCGCGGGGGAAAACCTTACGCACTTTCTGCATGGGCCGAAAGGCAAAGCACCGGCCTGCCAGACCCGTAGCCCGCGCAGGACGCTTACAAAGCCTTGCCACGTGCACTGACCCCGAAAACCTGTGTTTGACCCCTTGGACATCAAACGTGGAATCAAGGGACGGAGGAAGCAAACCGGAGTTGAATTGCAAGTAACAAGCTTCAGGGATTTTTGCGGGAAGTTAGCCAGATACCCACCACTGCCCAGGGTTTGGGCTATCTTTCTGTAGAATGTCCGAGAGCTTCGTGTCAACCACTAGCCAGCAACCCCATTTGTTTCTTCCAAGGCCAATTATTGGTTTGAAGTAACCCCAACTATTTCGTAGAATCATGGAACGCACTATCGTCTTGCCAAGGATCGTGTGGACCGGCCAGCACCGCGCATGGCGCGGGTGACACCGGAGCTCCTAGCGACGGAAGAGTCTACCCCGATTGCTTGGCTACTTTAGGGCATGAAAACAGGTTTCCAAGGACTGTTCGCAAAGCTTTCCGCGCCCCTGTTCTGGCTGGGGCTGTCTCCTGAACCTTCATAAACCTGGTTCTGACTGTGGCTCACCGGGAATGCGCTGCAGATTGCTCCAAGCTTCGCCAATAGAGGCCCCCTGACTTTGGACGCCAAAAGAAAATGCGCCTCACGTGGCTGGCAGTCCCATATGGGTCAAAATGAAACCACCAGAGGACTGCTGGTTGTAGTCTTTGTTTCCATTTGCCAGGATTCCATTTTGGGTACCTATTTTTGACCCACCTCCATAGGATGTTTGCACATCCCCATACAAACGCTTGAGGTCCCTTCTCTGAGACAGCCCCAGGAAGCTCCTCATGGCCACCGCGGCGTCTGTGTTGATGATCTCTGCGGCGATCTCAGAAAGGCGGATGGCTCAACTCCAGCCCAACCGGATGCTTCACCGTAGCTGCTGACCGCCCCAAAGAAAATAGGGCTGGCTCAAAGCCCCTACTTGGGTGTTCAAGTGGTTGGTAGCCTAGGTTATAACCCGCTTCCAAGTCCCCCTGGGTCGGCTAACCTTGTTATTCGCGAGCCGTTGTAAACTAGGCAGCGAACCATGCGAATCCAGCCGAGAGAAGCGATCAAACACGCTGGGCCGGTGACGGCTGTATCCCCCAGGATGCTTATCGTGGCACCTCAGCGGGCCATATGGAGAGAGACTCGGTAACGACCAAATCTGAATGGTGAGTTTAAAGAACATCTCCCAAAATTTTGCAGAACCCCATGAACGTGTCTCCACTTCGAGTAAACGCAAGCACAGCAGTTCTGCCGAGGGCAGACTCAGCGCCGGGCAGGTATCCATAAAGAAGCGCAGGGAAAAAAGATAGCCAGGGACCACCCAACACATCAGCAATTCCTCAGACACGGAAGCCGAGCGACAAAGCGTGTCGGGGGTTCCTTTAAGGGACCCCGACACGGGGGCCACCCCCTTCTCGTGCCGTCTTACTAAAAGGGACCCCAAGTTCTGGCAACCCAAGTGAGGTTGCTGCTAGACCAACTCACCGTCCCAAGTCCCGCCTCCACCACGAAGGCTAAGAACACAAAGATATTGACAATGGAGAGGGTGAGGTTGTCCTGCAATTTGCTTGCAGTCAAGAATCACTGCGTAGCGCTCGAGTGCAAATGTCACAGGAAAAAACCATACTGCTGGGATCTGCTGGGCGTGTGGAGGCAAATCCATTTCCAGTTGGTTGAGGAAACTTCCAGGAGACTTCGCCCATTTTGGGGCTGGTGACAGAACCGGGCACGTTCCCCGCCTGGTCCATGCCGCTGTGCCCGGCTGCCAGAAGCGTGTCAGGGCCTCGGGAGGTTGCGTTTTGCAGGATGCCCGTTGGGCTTTGAAGGGAAACCAAAAGCAAACACCAAAATCATGTTTTGGCGGTGGGGGGGTTACCCATAAACTGGGGCTTCTTGAGCCCACCGCAACCAGCGCGTCTCAGGTCTCAGGGCCCAGGCCGAAAAGCGCGTAGAGCGTGAGAAAAACGTAAAAAAGGGTGAAGGCCTGGCGGGCCGGCCACGCTCTCGCCGCTCTCGTCGCTCTCGTCGCTCTCGTCGCTCTCGTCGCTCTCGTCGCTCCGCTCGCTCCGCGCCTTCCCTTCGACGGTGTATTGTGCCAGGCGCTTCAGCCGGCCTGACACCCGGGTCGAACTGACCAGCAGGGGGCAGTGCAATTCATCCTAAGTTTACGCGAGTGGGCTATAACCCACGTGGCGAAATAAGCCATTAAATGACTAACAAAAACTAAATAAGCAAACACATTCACAACAATGACAATCCCCAAAAGAATGGCCCCATGTTTGCGGGCTTTCTTAGCGACGCCGAGGCGCTCAGCAGGTCTTCAGTCATCACGGGCGCAGGCGCATCAGCATCGTCCTGGCAGTATCCCACATGTCCGACGCTCAAGCCTGAGCGGCGACCGAAACCCGGTTGAATGTGGGTACTGCCTACCATGGTTATGAAGGTGTTTAAGAGGTGAAACCAGGGAGGAACCGAACCAGGATTTCCACAATTTCGGGGTCCATGTGCTAAGTGATTCTTACACAGGTTACATTGATGCTTATCCCAAGCAAAGTCTGCGGCATTATACTTACCCCAAGTGTACACGCCAATGACCATCCCTACTTACCCCAAGCAGAAGGGGGCCGAACAACAAGCTACTCCTTCGACGATGTTGGGCCGACCCACGGCTCGGTCCTGGCACTGGATGTCCTCAAAGCCCCAGAAGATGCTTCGCACCACTTTCCGGATGTCCTGTCCGCGCGCAAAACCCATACCATGGACTGGTTGGTTTGAGTGGTCATGAAGGGCCGGCCAAACAAATATCTGAATCAACTGAATATTATGGCCCAATAGGAAACCGCCCACTCAGACCACCCTCCCAAATAAGATCCCCCTTCTTTAGATGTCGAAACCCCGATGGCAAACGGCCCAAGAGGAGGCCCTACCAAGCGCCCAAAACCCACGGACTTCTGGCTCTACCAACCTGGTTACAAAGATGTATCTCATATAGAGGGCATCACTACCTCTACCAAAATTCAGCGACTAGAACACGTTCCGCCTTGAGGCTCTGGAGGTTTTTCTCCATGGTCCAGTCCTGGGCTCCCAAGATCGGGCCAACATGGAACTCCTCAAAACACCGCTCTTTTTGTTTCTCTTTCTTTGTTTTTAACCTCAAAAGACCGTGTTTAAAAAAACGCGACCCAAAAACAACCAAGAAAAACGGGAACTCAAGAACAATGCAACCCCTAGAATTTGCCCCCAAGAAACATCAATGGTGAACCCTGATCTCACCCGACCTGTGGCTCCGGGCCACATACTGCGAGTGCTCTTTGAGCATGCGCATGTCGTCTGCATTGAGAGCCTCAAGGCAGGTCACATTTGCCGGTCAGGCATCAAAAGAAGAAGAATAACAATAACAAACAAACAACAAGCAAACAAGACAAAATGACAAAAACAAATGAAAAACATGTCAAACCAACAAACAAACAAACAAACAAACAAACAAACAAACAAACAAACAGACAAACACACGAACAGACCAACAAACAAACAAACAAACAAACAAACAAACAAACAAACAAAAACAAACAAACAAACAAACAAACAAACAAAAACAAACAAACAAACAAACAAACAAACAAACAAAAACAAACAACAGCAACAACAGCAGCAGCAGCAGCGACAGCACACCAACAGCCACAGCAACACCAACAGCAGACTGCAACCGCAACAGAAGTAGCAGCAATAGCGGGAACAACCCAGGAATCCGCACCCAGCTCCCTCCGAGATTGTTGGAGTACATGTGCTGCATGGCCTGTCGCTCAAGAAGTTGACCAGGCTTCACCAGGCACGGCAAGGCAAAGTTCAGTCATAATCAAAAGCAGCTTCGGGTGGACAAACTCCGCTTCACTGTGGAGACGGGAAACGAGTTGCTAGACAGTATTTATAGGGTTTCCTCCATCCCAACCAATGCGAAGTGGAGTTTTGAATCAACAAGACGAAGATCGGGGCCTGTTTTCAGGCCAAAGCTGGGCGGGCTTCATCTATCCACGGCTTTGATTCATCCGCCATGTGCGCCTTATGTGGGTCATGGCTGCCCGAGCCTTGATGTAATCATTGTTCACCAGGTCAAACGGCAGCCCCCCGTCGCCCCAGGAGATTCGACGGCTATGTCGCCTGTCGGCGTAGCGGCCAAGGAGGCAGTTTCGGGGGCGGCGGCGTTCCTGCGGGAGTGCGCCTGTTTACCCTTTTGTCACATGGGTCTAGTCCCGCTCTTCCACACGCACCCGATGCGCGTCTCGGAAACATCCGCCTGGGTCGCAGAGACCTGCCCCTCTCCAGTCCGGGCTTCCCTCCCAAATTGGACCGCTCTCACTTGAGTCAACCAATGGAAACCCTGAAATCCGTATCAGCTCTCCCTGCTGGCTCCCCGGCCTCACGTCCTCGGATCCTGCTCTGTCCGGATCCTGTGCCGGCATGGCGTCGTGAAGGAGAAGAAGCCAGCCTCCCCCGCTATACCAAAGCGACCGGGTTTCCCCGTCTTTTCTCGTGGAGAGACAAGATCCGGCACCAGCTCGCAAATGGTTTATCCCGACATTCGCAAACTTCATCTCATGGCTAAGTTCCTTGGAAGAAACACCTGGCTTCCATCTTGGCACTCTGGAAGCTGCATAGCGCTCTTGGAGCACTCTGCACGGTGCAGGTGTGTGTGTGTGTGTGCCATGGTCGAGACTCGCCACAAATTGGTCATGGTCATTGCTTCGGCCATGTGGGCAAAGGATGGCAGCAAGCTCTTCAATGCCCTCAAAATAGAAACCTTTTTGTCCAAAGCCCCCTTAGGAGGTTGTTGTCCATCTCTAGGCCCGCAAAAGCGTTCAAAGCTGGTTCCACATGAAAGCCGTTTGCCGTCCTCAGAGGACCGCTGCCGCGAGAAGTGGTGCAGGTCTGCAGAGCGCCGTTGCGCCAAGTCAAGGCAACATGCTCATGGGCGACGCATGGGCCAAGACGAACAACTGTGTGTCAAACATAGGGCAAAGCCGGACCCCTCAAAATGATAGCAAATTGCGTGAGTCCCCTACAGAACTTGAGTGACCCCGAACCGACACGCTGCTTAGCGCAAAACGCGTCCCCAAAAAGGTCCCAAGACTCGACAAGCGCATGCGCCGCGCCTGGTGAGGGTGGCCCGGCGGGCAGTGGCGGCTCGGAGGGCGGAGGCTCCGAGGGCTGGGAGGGATGGCTCCCGGGCATCGATGCAGAGGGCACCGAGAGCTGGGAATCCAACACCGGCGGCGGCGTCAGGGACAGGTCCTGCCCGACGGCCGTCAAAAGCACGTTCAAGCGCGGCGGAAAGGACGGGACGAGAGTTGGGGGAATCGGGGAGAGCTCCCCAAAAATGGAAAATCAAAGCCGCCTTTCCCCGAAAGCTGCTGGAAACACGTCCTGGCTCTCTAGCTTTCTTTTACTTCACCATCCTAAGCAAACCTTCGCCTTAGGACCGAACGAACGCGAAAACCGGCAGCCGGCGCGTGGCGGCCCGGTCCCTGAGCAGCTCGGCAAAGCCGCTTTCCGAGGTGTCGTGCCTCCGTTCTGGTCGGTTGTGCACCTCTTCTCCTCGGAGCGACGGCATTGCGATTCGCCACGCATCGAATGAATTCTCGGGTGAGGGTAAAGGATATCGGACCTGAAGGTAGCAGTTCCAAGGCGGGTGCCAATAGCTTTCTAAGTTTCGTTTCAGTTGCCCTTTCCGCAACCATCCCTCAACGACTGCTTTGCACAGCACTTGGAGGTTTTGGAAATAATGGATAAAGCAGTGAGGGGGGGGGAGGGCTGGTAGGAGTCCTCTTCCAATCTTCACACAGCCCCTTCTGAGGGCCGCGCTGCTCAACTCTAGCGCTGCTTGAGCTGGTGACCTGGCGACGAGTTGGGACATTTGAGTCCCCTGCGTTTCGGGAGATCTGGTAGGCCCTCCACGTCCCCAACACCGAGAGCATAGACTGGATGCTCGAATCTCATGGCGCTGACTGAGCCCCCAGGCCGGACTTCCATGGGAACCTAAGCCAAAGGAGAATCAAAGCGAGGAACAAAGGCTCCAAACCCACTTCAACAGCGCGGACGAGACTTGAGCAACGCAATTTCTGGAGGGGGTGCCTCGAACAAGGGGCCTTAGAAGCCAAAAGTAAGTACAACCCATCCGGCTTTGAGATAGAAGAAAGTGTCGTCTGCAGGTGCAGCAAAGCTGTGAATCACTGAGCTTGCAGCCACAGGGAGGCTGTCCACAGCCCATGAGTTCATTCCATCTGGCCGGGGCGCTTCCGATTCATGAACTCACAGGCTACTTTTGGAGAAACCTCTCGAAATTGCTTTGGGTCCCAGCCTCCCTTTCAACCGCCATTGTTGAGGGTGACTTTGAGGAGGTCTCAGTCGAATCTTCATGCGACCGGCCCGCGCCTTGTCTAAAGAGGATGCCGCCAAATGAGGCAACTTGGCCCTACTCGGCCCCTACACGGTCACGGGGAAGGCTGGGACGGTGGGCTTGGATGGGCTTGGGTGGGCTTGCAGTGGGTGTGACCTGGTAACACATTCTGATCTGATCTTTCTATTCTACCTCTGGGCCACAAGGATGCATACCGTCATGCCAGTCGCAAACCCTATCATCTAGATAGATCCAGTCGCAAACCCAACAGATCTCCATGGATAAAGTCCATTCCAAAAAAAAAACCACTCGTCTGGAAAAAAAGGGGCAACGATGGACACTCACCATCGGATCCACTTTCAGCGGGTGGAAACCTCCTGCGAAGCGACTCATCTCACGCAGCAGCTCCTTGGCGGAGGCGGTCTGGGCTAAGGCGAAGGCTACCCGCTTTCACCCACCTTAGGGAAACCAAAAGGAAAACCAGGGTCACCCTTGGACACTGGAGTTTCAATGGAAGTGGACCCTTTGGTGACATCGTTAAAATGGGTGGATGTCCTTTCCCAACCATTCTTGAGCGCGATCCATGGATTTCATGGCCATTTCAGGCGAAGCATCTCATTCGAATTGCAGCATTCTGGATAGTCCGGCAGGTTTCGCCGAGATTCCCCTGAAACATCACCCTGCCAAAAGGAGACTTACTCAACCTGGCCTGACATGATACCGCCTAACACCTCCAAACCGGGGAGCTTCGAGTCCGTCACCCCGTCACGTCGCCCGGCCCCTTGAGCATCCGAAGCGGGCAAGGCGCTGGTAGGTGGGGATCATGTACTTGATGTTGATGAAGGCATCCTGCTCTTTTCACAGACGTCCACGACACGCGCAGAAACCGGGGCGAAACCTGCACCCAGGTTTAGGGGATGCCGAGACTTCAAACATGGCACAAAGACGGTAGAGCCAAGCAGGCCGAGGCCCGTTTTTGGACCCCAGTGTCATTGCAGCATTTTGAAGGGCGGCCAGGAAACGGCCTAACTTTGATCGTCAGAATCTTGTGCGCACCTCTCCACCACTGCTCTCCAGCAACTCAAGTGTTTCCTCCTTGGTCGCACACACGAACACAGACCACATCCCTCGCGCTTTCCCTGCGCTATGCGAGCTGGGTTTGGCGTTTCGGCAACTGACAGTATGTTCTCTATGTGGCGGGCATGGTGTGTTAATTGAGCCATGAAGAAAAGACATTAGGATTAGCCCCTGGAAAATTGAAAAGAGAGCGAGACCAAATGAAAGAACAAGAGAAAGACAAAAAAAAAGGAAAGAGAAATAGCAAGAGAAAGGACAAATGAAAGAGAAAAATACAGACAAAGAACAAGAGAACCAGAAATACAATTATAAAGAGAAATAGCAAGATAAAAGAGAAGCTGAAATTGAAAGAGAAAGATAAAGAGATACAGAAATAGAGAAAGACAAGGAGAAAGAGAAGGAGAAAGAGAAAGAGAAGGAGAAAGAGAAAAAGAGAAGGAAAAAGAGGAGTATAGTGTTCATGTGTTTGAAGCTTCCGGCTTCACCGGCTGCGGCTCTGCCATCGAACTCGGCCCTCCCCCATCGCCCCGGGACCCGAGGCTCCGAGGCTCCGAGGCTCCGAGGCTCCGAGGCTCCGAGGCTCCGAGGCTCCGGCCACCAGCTCGCCCAGGTTCTGGCGCTTCCGCTGGCTGTAGTCGATGGAGGCGTCTCAGCGAGCGCGCGCGTAAAACAGGCGGACGGAGGGCGGGCGGCGTCTGCGGGCCGGTGGTTTTGGGGGGAGGGGAGAGAAAGGGGTGGCTGAAATTGCTGGCATTTTTTTTTTGGTGATTTCCCTTAGGCCCAAAGACTGAAACAAAAAGCCTGGGTGCCGAACGAACCGAAAGTCAACTGAAACCTGGCGACGAGTTCCCCTCGCGTCTGCTTGAAACACCGGACACCAAGGGCACACAAAGGGCACGGAACTCAAACCCAAGTGGTTCATGAAACGTTCCACTCAACTGGAACGCGACAGGAGTGTCCTTAAGTAAGTGTGGCATCGTTCTGCGAATGGTGCAATGATTCTAAAATCTGAAATCACTGATCCCCTACATGGGTATGAGCCTGAATCTCAATCGCGCGGACATCCTTTGAGGTGGGGATTCATGTCCACCAACCACACCTCAAGGGGGTTCCTCTTCAATGTCATAGCCATTGTGACCTCCTTTAACCCCCAAACAACCACCAGCTCGCCACGAAAGAAGCCGGTTCCCCATCGACGTCGGCTCGACGTCGGCTCGGGAGCGCTCGAGGGCCTGTGCCGGTGGTGCTGTCCTTGTACACGTTGAAGATCGGCAGGATCTGGCGGTAGTAAGGCACCAGGGCCTGCGACAGGTCGCTTGGGCCAGCGGCTTCGCCAAAAACTGGGTGGCTCAACCAAACCCGTCTCAAAAGGAAACCCGAAAATTTGCGCGCCCTTTTTTTCCCCTCAAGAAGTAGTGATTGAAGCAGGTGTTTTTGCAAGGGGAGCAAAAGCCACCTGAGGACTCGTTAGAACCGTAGCCAACACCTCCAAAGTGGTTCTGCATCCATTCGCCAGGCCCAAGCCAGAAGCTTCTGTCAGTTCATACTTGCTGGCATGTGCTCATACAGCCCAAGCCCTGCCGGAGCACCGCGGGGACATTAGGGCAGGCTTTAAATGCTTGAATGTCAAGGGTTTGCTCCTGCTAGAAACGCGAGAAATGCCTTGACCGTACGTTTCACCACGTCACAATCGAACCTTATTTTATCAGTTGCTCACATGCGCCATGGGCAAATCTCCTGAACGACCATTGTGATGAGCCCTCACGGTTGAAAAAAATACTAGGCTTGACCTACCGTTCCCAAAGGCCAACAAAAAACTCTTGTAGGGCTCCTTGTCAAAGGCGCACCTGAGTCATAATCAAAACCTGGTATGAAGATGGTCTACCCAGAACCATGTAACCTTACTAACCTTACTAACCCAGAACCATTTATGGCAAGGGGATTGTCCCTTACTAACCTTCATCTACCCGGGTTTTGAGCACGTGGCTCACCTGAGGGCTCCTTGCAACCGACTCCAGGGCCTTCACCTCCGGCCCGACCCCATCCCATCGCCTCGCCCACCTCGGGCGAGGAGCGCACCAAGGCCTGCAGCACCTGACTGAAATCTCGCGTGGATTGAAAGACGCGTGTGGTTTCTGTAAGAGGAGAATATGGCTGTGGCTCAAATAGATGTACCACAATGGCCCTGGTACATGGAACCAAAGACTAAAACCTGCGGTCCCCTGGTGGTTGAACTTTGACCCATACCCATAGGGGCTCGATTTGGTTGGAGGGGAGGAAACATGCCCAAATTTCCGAGGATTCACTGGTCTCGTCTTTGTCTCTAATATGGCTCACAAGTGGTTAGGGGGAAATCTCCATTCGCTCGAGAGACCAAAGACGCCCACCCCGGAGGCTCTCAAACCTTCACAAATCAAAGGACCTGGTATTGAACCAGGGAGTAACCTTACTTTAATGAAAGAGGAAGCAGCTTCTTGGCTTTCACTAATGTTTTGAATCAACACAAAAACTGACCTGCTGAGTTGACCAAAGGCCAAACAAGGTGGCTTAACTTTCGGGAAGACTAAAATGTAATTTGAAGTTTGTCGGGTCCCGACGCCAAACAAAAAAGCAATCCAACCACAACCACCAAGAATCAAACAAACAAATCCAAAGAGAGCTTGGGAAGGGCTCATCCAAACCAAAACGCGCTAAAGTGACACATCCCAACCTCTGGACCGCATCAGAATCGGCCAGGGGGCCAGCAGCACGCGCGCCACCACCGGCTCGTCCCGGGTGTTCAGCGCGGCCTTCCGCGCGCGAAAGGCCGCGTCTTCCGTTTGGAGCCCTGGTGCGTCCCTGGTTCAGTGAGTCATCACTCTTGGAGGGGAACACCCTATGAATCAACACACAACAGAGACAACAGAGACAACATGAGCACCCTGGAAAAGAAGAACGCCCTGTTCAATCCGGGGTCATTTCATTCTTTGCACCGCTTCAACCACGTGGACGCCAAATCGAAGTGGAAACTGGGCACCTCGCCTTCAGGGGCAGCACGAGCTGGGGCACCGTGGCCGCGATCCTGATCCATCGGAGCCCGCGATCCGCATGAGTCGTGCCCCGAAAGCGAGGTGCCCCAACCGAATGCCCGAATGGCCGAAAAACCGCAGGAACCAAAACGCCGAGAAGAGCAACGAAACGGGCAAAAGAACGCGGCTCGCCAAAAGAAGGCGCCGATAAATGAGCACAGCCATGTCCTGGCGAGTGAAAAGGAAACGACTCTGGGCCCTTCGAATTCGGGGATTCAACTCTGTTCTGACATGTCCAGAGGAGCGCCAAAAGGCCATTGACTCTGGGTTCTACCAAAATGCCAACGGTGGCCTCACTCTCCTCATGAAATGGGGCAGCCAGGTATACACAATTTGGCAACCATTGTTGTTGGGGGTGCCATGTGTTGAAGGCAGAACTTGCCAACTGCTTCCGCTCAGGGCCGAATGATGAAGACTCGGAATGATGGCAGCCAGCCAGGAGGACCCTAAACAACTCAGCAGGCTGCTCCGAAATCCCTGGCAAGCATAGAACATTGGCCCGGGAAGAAAAAAACCAAGGGAAAGACGCTTACCGCTTACCTTGGAACAGCCAAGGGATTACACCCTCAACTTCTTCCCCTGACCATTTTTTGTTCAAGGCGCGAAACCCGTTTCCCGCCTGGGCCCCCCATGCTGCAGGAGGCTGGCAAGACCCTGGCTGGCCAGAAAGCAGTAGGGCTCCTGGAGCGCCAGGTCGGGGCTAAAGAAGTCACCCGATTTGGCCATTGAAACCCAAAAAACCAAAAGGCCCTCTGTCGTTCAATGTCCTTAGGGAGGCCTGCGTTGGATATGGAACATACACTGCTGACCTGTTGCCTTGAAAACGACTCCAAAAAGCAAACACATCTTACCTTGGCTTCTTATATTTGGTCCCATGTTTGGATGGTTTAGAGCAAAAGCAAATCGGAAATCAACCGCCTGAAGGGTGTTGGGCAGTTCGAACATGAGCATTTGAATGAGGCCAAGCCCACAGAAGCCTCTCCTCGCTGGAACGCAGCGGAATCCGTTTGCGTGGCACCAAAAACACCCCGGCAATCGGCCAACCCGCCAGCGCCGATCTCCCTGTCCTCCCTCTCTCGGAGGCCTGGCCGGCGGTGCCTTCACCTTCCTTGGAGCCTTCTTTGGGCCCCCCAAATGGTTTCTCCATGTTTTGATGAGAACCCCCGGCCTTCAACCAGGAGAGGCATGTAGCGGAAGTAGTCGAGCTTATCTAAAGGTGCTTTCCACCTGCGGGAGGCGGGAACCGAGCTCCCTTCAGCTTCCTGTTGCTTCACCGCCGGAAAAACGAGTACCTTGCATCGCAGTTTGGATGGCTTGGGAGGTTCTTCAGTTGGCAACTGTATGTTGGGGTGGAAGCACCATAAACCGAGAGGGGCCTCTTTCGGTACCTGCAACAAGCAGGTTTTGGGCTCCTTCAAAAAGCTGAGCGGAAGGCACTTTCCTGGGAGCCGGGCGCCACTTTGCGACCCACTCCTTCGTAGCCTCGTGGGTTGGCAACGGATTCCCCTTTCAGCTTCCCTTCGGAGCCCACCGAAACTTTTTCAGAAATGCACACAACAGTACGTTTCCTGAGTTATAATCAAACCTGCTATTAAAATGGTGCACCCAGAACCATGCTTTAAGAATTAAGAAGGCGGCCGCAGCTACTTATGGTTGGAATCGTCCCTTACTAACCTTCATCTACCCGGGTTTTGATTGTGACTCCCCTGGAAACTTGTCCTGTTGGCCTGTTGGCCCAAGTGATATTCTCTCAAAAAGTGTTTGCACCCTTCCAGGGAAGCAAATATGGCCCCCAAACCTTAGAAGGGTTCTGATCGAAGGGTTCTGAAAATCATTCTGGTGGGGCAAAATGCCCACAGAAGCTTTGGAGACCAAGGACCCAAAGCAAAAAAGCCTAAAGCACACACCCAGAGAAGATCAATGACCAGGACATCCATAGTGAGCCGCAAAGCCTGCCATCTGAAGGCTCCAATTCCGATCCAATTGGGTGCATCTTCTTTGGAGGCTAATTACCCCTATTTTTTGCGAGTTGTCAAAGGAAAACCAAAAGAAACACCACAACTTCGTTTCTTGGGGGGTCCCCAAAAAACATGACACGCCCAATTCCAGGCCCCTGACTCAGGAAGAGCGGGAGGTCCCCTCGCTCGTAGGCGCGGCGAAACCTCGCGGCTTCCGCTGAGAGCCGTGCTTCCCCCAAAAAAATCGGTGTCCGCCATATATTTTTAGGCTACCCCCATTGTGCGGCTTTGGAAAGGGCAACCAAAAGCAAAAAATCGGCAGTTGGCCTTGGGTCAAAAGCCCGTACCCCCCGTGAACATCCCCGCTAAAATCGGGTGGTGCACCCACCCCAAAATGGGATCCCAAAACGCTTTTGACCACCACGGGCATTTTGCGGGGCCCTTAAAAAAACAAAAAAGGACGCACCCCCCTGGAGCCTCGGCTCCGGGCTCAGTAGTCCGCTTGGGCTCCAGCTTTCGAAGGGAGCCTCGGCTCAGCTGTCTTTGGAATAGGAAAAGGAACCCAAGCAAACAGGATCCGGATGCATTATACACCTGAACATTGCAACTTGTAAATGGTAGTTTCCAACTAAAAAAATTGGTGTTGAAAAAGCAACATGTTTCAAATGATTGCAAAATGTATCTTTTAAGGAGCCCTGCTTATTGACCATGGTTTTATGGCTAGTGCCCAGCCGAGTCTGCTTGATTTACTTATAATACTGGCTGGGTATGGTTGATTTACTTCTCATATTTCGGGCCCGAGCTCCTCCTCGCCACAAGCGCCGGCCTGCACGGACGGCCTTCAGCTGGGGCGCGGAGGCGCAGCCCAACAAAGACCTCAGCGGAGTCAAAGAGCGGATCGCGCGTGGGTCGCGCGACCGCCTGGGTATGAACATTGCAGCTGGTTGCTTGCAAACTCGCCCAAAAAGCTGGTTGGTTGGATTCAACACCTTGGTTGGCTGTGGCTGGCTGAAACAACTGACTGGCCTTTCAGGCAAGACCAGAAGCCTGGGGCTTGGTTACACATTTCGAAACAGCCAGGCACACATCGGCCTTCGGTGAAAGCATAAGTCTCAAATCCATTGAACCCTCTACCCCAAAAACGTGAGGATCAACCGAGCGCTACGAGCAAAGTTGCCACATCCTGAGCTCCGCGGCGAGCCCAGCATGCTCAGCTTTGGCCGGGAGTCCTTGGCGATTCCCGAAACCCACAATGTCGACGGGTCCCTGTGATGTTTTCTGAAAAACCCCGGTTCTTCGAAATGTGTGTGTGTGTCATGTAAGACATTTTTCATCCGAAGATGACTATTGATGACTGGCGTAAAGGATCTTGATTCCATCACAATATGTGAGGCCAAAACAACTCCAGCCACCCTGACTTGGAACAAAATTCTCGGGCAAGGGGCGTCCACCCCGGCGGCTGCCGCACGAGCTTGCAACCAAGTGTCGCTGGGGAAGTCCCCAAACGGCGAAGACTTCTTGAAAGTCCTGGGAAAGTGGGTTCTTCCACCCTGGAAGCTTTTCTAGGTTTGAAAAGTCTCAGGGCAAAAGTCATGCCAAAGATATGCAAACTGCACTCTGCCAGAATATATGTGCTTTAGCCATGTCCTTTTCGACAGCTTCGCCATGGTGACCGACCAAGAGGTGAGTTCAGCCAATGGTTGGTTTGTTGGAGTCCGCTTGAAACGTCTATTTCGGGATGCTTTGCTTGCTGGTACAACTGGCTTCGACGATCTAAGTGCACGCCCCTCACGTATTGTGAAGGCGAAATTGAATTCAGTCCGTGCTAAGTGTCACGCATCCAAGTCAAACGTATTGCACAATCTTGACAGATCAAGGGCCAACAAGCCAATTGTGTCATGTGCCAATGCCCAAAAGGCTATCGCCAGCATCGGTGAAGCCGTCCCAAAACCCTTCACAGAAAGAAACCGCTCTCGATTTTCTGCGCCCCAGGCCTCAGTTGAAATGCCAGCGGAGCCCTTGTGGCCATTCCGCGCGAGTGATTCGTGTGATCACGGGGCCGAATTCGACACCTCAAATGTGGAGGCGCCGGCCGAGCGGAGCTTCCTCGAGGCACCTGTAGCAATCCTCGTGCTCGAGGCCGTAGCAGGGTTGTACTCGCACAAAGCGCTTGCAATAGTTGCCCTCGGAAATCGTGTGGTTGTACTTGAGGCATACGTAGCCAATCAAATCCACCGTTCCACCCACACCCTCCGGCCTGGTCCATACCCGGCAGCGATCATTGTACTCGTGGCTGTATTCAATGCCAACGCAGGCCACATTGAAGATGCAAAAGGTCTTGCATGCATCCAGACTGCTCTGGTTGAATGTCTCATAGTAGCCCGGGCCGACATCATCCGGACCGCTTCCAACACACCCAACATCCTCAAACTCCTTGTGCACCGGGAAAAAGCTCAACATCGCTCCGGGTTCCGCCGCAGCGGGCAGAAGCAGCAGCAGCGCCGGCAAGAGCATCGGGGAAGCTGGGGGGAAGTCTTGCCCTAGGCTAGCAGGCGCTCATTCACTTGCCAGCAGCACGCTAAAAGGTAGCGCGCAAAAAAAATATAGCAGAAACAGCCGAACGCAAAATATGATGCGATGAACCGAAGGAAAAAAGAAACCAAAAGGTGAACACAAACTGCAAGTGAACAACCACGCAAGAGAATGAGAACGATCTAAAAAACTTGAAAAGCCGCCTCCACTTGAGGATGCCAAAAAGAACTCAAATCACACGACATGAACATGTGCTGAACCCTTGCACAAGGCTTCCATGAGGGAGTGGCCAGCCACGACATCTTGCGGTATGAGACGCATGGCCGGAGCGGGAAAGGAGCAAGGCACATGACTAGGTCCGCAAGGCAGTTTGGCGCACGCTCTCAGTATGTTCACATGAAGAACTGGTTGACGGCAAGCGACATCACCCGCGCATGTTTCTTGGACGTGTCAAAGAACAATCGGATTCACAACGTGCTTAATCCTACGGCAATGCTTTGCAAGTTTTGAAGGACAACATACTCTGTCGAGCGGATGCAATCTATTCTCCTCAATGCGATTTGGAGCCTACGGCCAATGTTCATGCAAATGCTCATGTCATGCTGTGGGGATGCTTGAACTCACGAATCGCGAATCACTCTGACATGCTGCCTTCATACCCGAAGCACTTAGAACATTGTGGCATCTGCCTTGCGTGCCCAAAATGCGGCTCCGCTTGTGCGTGCGATACACCGTCCCAGTTGGGGCAACCCGGATCGTCTTGTTCCTTGCCCTACCCCTTTCAGGCGTGTTTTTCGGGCTCGCTGTCTGGGCAGTCCGGGGTCGTTGCTTTTCCGGGGTTGATGATGTCCTTCTGCACTCTCCTGATGAAGAGTTACCACCTGCATTGGCGCCACTGGCTCCGACCATGTTGGCAAAAGCCACCACCAGAGCCATGCAGTATTCGTCCTCGGATCTTCTTGGCACCCTTGTCGCACAAAACATGTTTTCCATCTTTTCGACCGGCTCGGCATATGCGGAACACGCCCATGTCACAGCGTCCTATCTGGATGATCGGTGGAGTCCGTGCTCAACACCTGCTGACCCCTTCCCGGCCCTCGTACTTCGTACTGGCTGGAGATGGAACATGCTGTGGTATCGGCACGAAGGCGCTGTCGAGAGCGTGGCCTCATGTTCATGACGGGCATGCTGAATGAGGACGAGTTGCAGGTGAGATTGAGAAGAAAATGTTTTGCGCGAGCCGAGCTCGTGGTGGCACCCAGAAGGGGCTTGCCGTGCTTCTGGTTGTGGGAGTGCAGACCACGGACTTTCTTGCTGCAAAGCACAGACAGGAGACCGCATGCTGCTGGACGCCATAATGCTTCAGATGGGCAAGCGTGCTGTCAGGGGTCAACCCGACCGCACCGGTTGAGATTGCCTCACACACGTTTCGCATTGCGGTGTACTGGGATGAGATCAAAGGTGCGTGGGAGTCATTTATGAAAGGCCCTTCGCATACATTCTGGAAGCTGTGCCCGTGCTGCACATGTGTGGGGTGGACCAGTGTGAGTGTGAGCGCTGGCGCAATTTCAAGAAACTACCGGTCGAAAGTGCATGCTGGATGTGTGGCGGCGGCACTACTATCGCCTTGGATATCGCCCTGAAATGCCTGCCCAGGCTGCTCTTTTCTTGGTGAGAATCAGTGTTCCAGCTGAGATCAAGGATCGCGTCATGATGTCCAGTGGCGTGAGTGGGGTGTACGCTGAGCCCAGGACGGAGGATGGCCTGCGCCCGGATGTGCAATTGGCTACCCAAAGCCAATAATAGCCGGGGCCATGCTTCAGAAGCAGACCCAAGCCGGGGACATCAGTCTGGTGCGCATGGGCATGAGGTACGGAGCGCGTGTGCCGGAATTTCAGGCAGCCAAGGTGTGAATTGGCAGGCAAAGCCGGCCCATGCATGGATGGGATGATGTGGTCCATCCAATGATCCTCCTGATTGCGGGGTTGAAACCACTGTCGGTGAAATGCTGATTTGTGAGGACTGGCCAGCGTGCGCCCAGCCCGCAAAGCAGCAGTGTCCGACAAAGGCTTCAATCCGCTGTCACGGATCACCTCCACCGGCACCCGGTCCGGACGGCTGCCACCCACTCCCCAACACTTGCTGCCTCGCATCCTTGACCATGAGGGGGGTCTTGCCCCCGTGATCTACTACCCCCATCACGATAGACAACGTTGACAGCTTCGCCAGCAAAGCCTACCAGAACAACCACATTGGCGGAGAGCAAGCACATTTTGCGGGCGCAGGTGGAGCGCGGCTTGGTCCTTAGCTTCTGGTCATCCGCATAGTCACTGTACTACTTCCAACATGTGGACCTCCTTGGTTTTCTTTCATGTCCAGCATGGACTTTCCAAATAGCTCGCCAAGCGCACGTGCAGTGTTCGTGAGCGTAAACACGCATGAAGCGAGGGCGTTGATCGCGAAATGGCAGTCAGGTTTCTCACCTCTCATGTACATTTTTTCCGATGGACCTAAACTGACATTTCCACATCCTACAGCTTATCTGTCATCTCTTCCCGAAGACCTCCTTGCCGAGATCTTGATGTCAGCCTTCAGTGCAATGTCCTCAATGTGCTTGGGGTCAGGCCGTATAACGCCTTCACATGTTCTGGCAATTTTGCTTGCAACGTACTCGAAGCTCCTGCCGGGACCCTGCAAATCGCATTTTTCAGTTTGGTGTTAAAGGAGATCCATGTTTGTTTTCTTTTCTTTTTTTCATTGTTTTTTCTCGTTCTACTGCATCACGTCATCCTCTATCCGCCATTGCAATCACGCAGGTCCGCTGCTTCAGCGCAGAAACAGCAGAAAATGGAAGCTCATCCTCACCAAAAAATCCGGGAGACGGAAGCCTCAACCACACAAGCAAACAAAACGAAGCTTAGAAAAGGGAACAATCGGAACCGAATCATGACTGTACCACGATCAAATTTAACGTAACCTCAAAAACATGTAACGAACGGGGATGCCTTTGGTAATCCTGGCACCGACAAGAAAAATCGAATCCCCAAGTGCCCACAACGCCGCGTTCACTTGTGTGCAAAAATCACTGGCCAAAAGCCATCCAAATAGGGAAGGACGCGGCGTCACAACCACCCATACTTAACAGCCAATTTATGTGTTGGACCACAACCAACAAGTCGTGAACCGGGAACTTCGCAGTACGCCAGTATGGAGGAAAAAGGTTGTGAACAATCTTGTGCATGACGCATAAAGTATAACCACGCATTCCACCGTCATATTGTAGCCCACATACAGTCTGCAAGGGCCACGCCCAATGAAAAGGTGCTAAAACCGTCAGAAGCTGTATGAAAATAGCATCAATGCTGCCAGCATCTTCAAACATGTAGGCTGGCTATCGACACCGCACGTAAGTCGTCAAACGCAAAGTACAAGCAATGATTCAATACTTCACACAAAACGACCAAGCAATAGCAGCAACATGGCGCAACCCCGTATAATTCTACGAGGTAGTACAGCTAATCCAAAAGTTGCACCTTGAAATGCCTTCCATTGATGAACTAATTAATGCCATTCGGAAGACCGAAAGCAAAAGTAGGCCAAGTACAGGTCTCGACCAGGGTCGCGCTGTCCCACGTGCCATCAAGGCAAAGAGTGCAAGGCGAGCAAAACGCCAAGGCCAAAACACTGTACATGACCGTAGCTATCCAAGTAACAAGAAGGTGAAACGCTAGGCGACACCTGAAGGCCAGAAAAAGGGGGCCAAAACAAGCAACCTTGCCGACCATCGCAACAGAAAAGAAATGTGGAATGAGCTGCTAAAGCGGTATTGCGTTATGGTAAACAGCAATACGCCACACCGTGGTGTTCTAACCTGCATATTATGTCTGCAGTGGCACTTAAAACATGCCGCGGGCAAACTAGAAAAACCGGTTTCCCCTGTTTCTCGGAGGCTTGTCAAGCAAAGCAGTCCGAGTGTTCTAAGCTGTGAAACTTAAGATGTACACAATAACGCACGCCGCATGTGTTTGCTTCATTTTAGTCATACGCAGCGTGCCTCGTCTTTTCCTCTAGTGCACGAGGACACATTGGGCGCCCTGCACACACCGTCGCCCAAAACTATCTGGCCCTCAAGGTGATCCTAAGAAAATGGACTTCGCACTGCTTGCACCGCTCCGACTTGGAAGCGGAGCGGACAGGCCAAAGCCGCAGAACGTGTCGAAACACGCATCAGCACTGCCAGCTTGCGCGATCGCCTGCAAAATGTTCCGGCAAGTTGAGAGTTTGTTTTTCAAGTTGGCTGGTTGGTTGGCTGGTTGGTCGGCTGGTTGGTTGGTTGGTTGGTTGGTTGGTTGGTTGATTGATTGATTGATTGATTGATTGATTGATTGATTGATTGATTGATTGATTGATTGCTTGCTTGCTTGCTTGCTTGCTTGCTTGCTTGCTTGCTTGCTTGCTTGCTTGATTGATTGATTGATTGATTGATTGATTGGTTGATTGGTTGATTGGTTGATTGGTTGATTGGTTGATTGGTTGATTGGTTGATTGGTTGATTGGTTGATTGGTTGATTGGTTGATTGGTTGGTTGATTGATTGAGTGATTGAGTGATTGAGTGATTGAGTGATTTGATTGTGATTGAGTGATTGAGTGATTGATTGATTGATTGAGTGATTGATTGATTGAGTGATTGAGTGATTGATTGATTGATTGATTGATTGATTGATTGATTGATTGATTGCTTGATTGCTTCGTTGCTTCTTGCTTGCTTGCTTCCTTGCTTCCTTGCTTCCTTGCTTCCTTGCTTCCTTGCTTCCTTGCTTGCTTCCTTGCTTCCTTGCTTCCTTGCTTCCTTGCTTGCTTTCCTTGCTTTCCTTGCTTTCCTTGCTTCCTTGCTTCCTTGCTTCCTTGCTGCTTTCCTTGCTTCCTT